CGATGCTGACCAACGACGCCGGAGAGGTCACAAGCCATATCAACGGCCTGCTGATGCGAACGACCAAGATGCTGGAGTGCGGGATTAAGCCTCTGTACGTGTTCGACGGGAAGCCGCCCGAGCTGAAGAAGGACACGCTTGAGGAGAGGAAGGAGAGGAGGGAGGAGTCAGAGGCTGCCTTGGCCAAGGCAAAGGAGGAGGGAGATGAAGAGGTACCTTGAGTGATCCTACATCCTCTCCTCATCCTCCTCTCCTCCTCTCCTTGGCTGCTGCCTCAGCTGTCGTTGGTCGCAGCGGAGAAACTGACGAGTCATGGTCAGGCTGTGGAGAAGTTTGCTAAGAGGACTGTGAGGGTCTCAAAGGAGATGACGGAGGATGCCAAACAACTTCTACGGCTTATGGGCGTCCCAGTGAGTCTTGTCCTCCTCCTCCTTTTTCTTATCCTCGTCCTCGTCCTCGTCCTCGTCCTCGTCCTCCTCCTCCTCGTCCTCGTCCTCGTCCTCGTCCTCCTCCTCCTCCTCCTCCTCCTCCTCCTCCTCCTCCTCCTCCAGTTAGTCATGACTCTCTTCACACAGTCCTCTACGTCTTGTCTCATCCCACTCACCACTTGAGCCTTCGGCGACTGCGTCAGGTCCAGCAGGTTGTAGAGGAGACTCTGCCAGCCGAGTTAGTGCTGGAGGTCAGCTGGAAGAGGCAGGCAGACCTGGCGGGGATGGGCCGCAAACATGTGGAACTCATCGAGGATGAAGAAGATCGGCTGAGATAGTTGCCGGCAGCTCTTCACCAGCTCAAAGAGGAAGTTCATCGAGTGCTCCGCGTTCTGAATCTAGAGCGACAGTCAGGCCTGCTGCTGCCGCCGCCACCACCACCACCACCACCTCTCTTCCTCCTCTTCCTCCTCTTCCTCCTCCTTCTCTTGCTTCTCCTCCTGTCCCTACTCCCCTTGCCCTCACTGCTTGCCCCCCCTCTCTTCTAACCTGCTTGAGCTCGAACTCGAACTCGTGCTCGGCATTGAGCTCGTCTAGCAGGTAGAGCTGCCTAGCCGTCTCCCTCATCGCCTCCACGTCTGTTCGCTGCACCAGCCCGTTGAGACGGACCAGGAGGAAACCTGGGAACGGATGCTCCCGCTGCAGCTGCTTCAGCACCTCCTCCACTACCGAAGTCTTGCCCGACCCACTAGCACCAAGTCAGTGACATCTTCAACAGCAATCCTCCCTCCCATTCCCTCCCCTTTCGCTCTCTCCCGCAACCGAATCTCTTCCTCTTCTCGCACCTCGGTCCCAGCAGAAGAGCAGATCCGTTTGCTTTGCGGAGGATGCAGCCTTCGAGAATGTTTCTGACCTCAGCTGCCTGCTCCGTCAACCCGCAGAGTTTCTTGGAGGAAGAGGAAGTGGAGCAGGAAGAGGAAGAAGAGGAGGAGAACGACAAGGGAGAGGAGGACATCTGTCGTCTCAGCTGGCAGACAACACTGTCCAGCGCCTCCTGATAGACTCCAGCTGGCTTCGAGCTGCCTGATAGCTTACCCAGCAGTGAGGACATGCAGGTCCGTAGGTTAGCACCGGACTCGTCACGTTTACTGTACTCGCCGCTCCCTCCAGCTGTTCGCACCATCGCTTTTGCCGTTGCGAAGAAGGTCGACGTTTTGTCCTCGGACGAGGAGGCGGGGGAGGAGGAGGAGAAGGGCTGAGGGCGGACGAGGGAGGAGGAGAGCGCAAGCTTTCTCTGTACCGGCTTGCGCTGGGCGACTCGGCCTTGATCCTGATCGCCATCGAAAAGAGAGGTGCGCGACACGCGGTTCCCTCCCCTTCTTCCTCCACTCTCCCCCGCCGCCACCGTCTCTGGAGTCTCCCAAGCACTTTCCGTGTGCATTGGATCTTTCCTCGATGACGCAGCAGCTTCTGCTGCTTTAGATGCGGAAGAGGAAGAGGACGAGGAGGCTGCCTCTTTCCTCCGCTTGGACTTTCTCTCCTGCTCCTGCTGCTCCTGCTGCTTTTCCTGCTCCTTATGCTCTTCCCCTTGCTCCTTTCCTCCTGCAGGAGCTGAAGGTTCCTCCTCCTGCTGGTCCCTGGCTCCAGCTTTCTCCTTGTCTCTCCTCTCAGATTTCTCCTTCTTCCCCTCTCCTGCACTGGACGTGAACGCACTGACTCCAGCACTGACTCCAGCACTGACTCCAGCACTGACTCCAGCAGGCACTTCCTCGATCTCCACATGCATGCGCTTTGCCTGTATGACCCGTTTCACCGAAAATTGGGAGAGAAGAGTGGGAGTAAAGTCAGAGGAGCAGGAGAAGGAAGATGAAGTCAGAAGAGGAGATGCGGAAGAGTCAAGTTGGAGGAGAAGTACAACAAGGAGGAGGAGGAGGAGGAGGAGGAGGAGGAGGAGGAGGAGGAGGAGGAGGTGGTGGTGGTGGTGGTGGTGGTGGTAATGGTGGTGGTTGAGACGGAGCACATCCCTGGGGAGAACAAGGGAGGAGGAGCGGATGAGGAGCGGAGGAGGAGCGGAGTCGCCCTACCTTGCTCTGCGTCACCTCCCCCTCCTCGGGAATGATCGTCTTCCACCTGATGAAGCAGTTTCACATCTTACAAGAAGAAGACCCGGCAGAATATCTTACATGCTGTCATGCCGGCACGCGGCCTTGCTCTTCATAACCTCCCGCTCGCATCTTTCGAACGCGGCCTCGTTGGAGCCATACGTCGCCTGCCACTCGTCGAGTTTCTCTTGTACCTGAGCAAGAAACTCACTAACAGATCGTGTGAAGTCACCGACAACGTAAAAGAGAAGCTGTGAGATTGAAGAAATAGAAAAAAAACATAAAATTTAACAGCAGATGCACTAGCGACTTACCCGCTTGCATGTGTAGAACTTGTTTGACAGGCGATCACACAGCAGCGACACGTAGCTAGAGTCTTGGCCCGCAGGAGCTGAGCCGAGAAGAGCCGCACCGAAGGATTCTGCTCTGACAGCATCTAGGAGGGCTGTCATCCGTACCTTGGTCCAATCCTCTGCTGTTGTGAAAGCTCCGTCGCCCTTCATCGCAGACATGTCCTTGCAATGGACTTCTTGTTCTTTTCCTTTGGCCTTATCCCCTTCGTCCTCGTCTTTGTGCGATACAGCTTTCTTAGTCCCTACATTTCTTGCCTTGTTCGTTGTTTTCGGCTGCGCCGAGCCCCCGTCCATTTTGGCGTCAACCGAGCTCTTCTTGTTTTCCACTATCTTTCTTCTTGTCATTGCAACTTTCTTCATTTCGTTTTCTTCGTCTTTCTTCTCTCTCTTCTTCTCCTTCTCCACACCCTCGTCTTCCTTCAGCTCTCTTCCTCTCGTCCGCATGGCTCCTTTCCCTTTTTGGAAGGTATCACCCCCCACCCCTACTCTAGTCGCTCTAAACCCTAGCTAGAGAGCAAAAAAGGTAATACCGTATGTCATTACTCAAAGTTAAGTTAAAAATCAGTACGAGGACAATCAGGAGAGACGACTCCGAGGAGGCTTGACCCTGACACTAGTGAGCAAAGTAAGTCGCACAGGCCAAACGGCGTGAAGAGAAAAGACAGCGAGAACCAAACCCAATCCTGTTAAATCCTGCCAACTCCTGTCCCCCAAACGTAACTGATACGGCCGTACTCCGTACAGTGGGGTAGTACCTCACCCTTCAAGCCTTTGCTTACGGTTCGGGCCCGCCCGACCGTTCTGGGGTCACTGTCAAACCGCGTTGGTCTTTATTAACGCAAAAGAGCCGCCTCGGTCGGACCGGGGCGGCCGGTCCCGGGTTCAACGGTTGACTGAGTCAGTGAGCCAAGTTAGTAGCCTCAGTACCGTACCGTACGCCGAACTTAATCCGTCGGGCCCGGCCCGGCCCCCGTACGCGGCCGCCCGGAGCGCGGCGACTACTCAGTAGTAGACTTTGATTAAAGAAGTAGCCTGTCACAGTGTAGCACTCCGTTCAGGTAGCTTACTGCAAGTCCGACTGAGTACGGTAGTGAATGATCGGCTGAGTGCCGTTGCCGGGTGATCGCCCGGCCGACTCCGGCGAGGCTTGGACCGTACGGGTCACCGGCCCCGGCGGTGCCGCGGTGCCGCGGCCATTGGCGGCACACCGTACAATCATCGGATCACTAAGTCTTATCATGAGTCTCGGCGCCGTGACCGGCCGGCCGCCCGGTCGGAGACCGCGGGCCGGGCCCCGGGCCCGGGTCTATGGCACTCGGAGGCTGCAGCCCGGGCTACTATGCCCTGAGGGCCGCCGGCCGGCCCCGGCGGCCCGGGCCCGGGCCCGTGCCGCAGGGCGGCGGCGGGCGCGCCGCGCCGCCGCCGGCCCGGGGCAGTGAGCCGCGGCGACCGTCGGGTAGGACGACAGTTCCGGTGACGGACCCGGCGACCCATCACTGTAGTTTCAACTGAGGGCAACCGTGAACGAGAATGGTGCCATGATTGATATTAGCGGCTCCCGGCTCGCATCGCGCTTGACCTCACCGGGCCGTGACCCCGTGGCGGCCGGGCCGGTGCGGCCGGGCCGGGCGATCCGATCATGGTGACCGTACCGTCACGCCGTACTACGGTACTATAGTACAGCGATCGGACCGACGTGTTTTCCGGCACTGGGAAGCCTGGTTCGGTTGAATCGGATCGGATGGTCACCGCCGTCAGTCTTCGGAACTGAGGCTCAGAGTACCGTACGCCGCCGGGTCACCGGGTCCGGTCAGGCCAGTGACTCAGGCCCCGGCCCAGGACCCAGCCAGGATCAGATCGGCCGGCCGTAAGATACTCATCAGATCGGATCGGACCGTCCGACGGTCAGATGAGTGGATCACGAGCGTCTCAGTGGTGCTGCACGGCACTGCACACGCGCCGCCACCGCGCGGCGGCTCCGAGCAGCGGCTGAGTCACCGATTCAACGGGACTCCGGGACTCCGAGGCTCCGGAGGCTCCCGGACCCCGCCGCGCTGGAAGCCTAAACTTTGAAACTCAACTCCGTGACAGGCAGACTCCTCAAGTCCGTGACCGCCGATGATTGCGACGGTTCAACGAATTCCTCCGATCTCTTGATTCATATGCCCCATGCGGCGCCTGGCGGGTCAACCGTGGGTGAGGACCCGAATCGTTGAGGTTTGAGTGAGTGTAGCTTCAAAATGGTCACGCCTGAGGGCGCAAGCAAGCGCAAGCGCCTGAGGGGGTGAGCATGCGCGTTCAAGTTTGAGGGAGTATATCCTCTTACATGCTTTTACAGAGGGTCCATAGGCTGTAACTTGCATTGCTCTCCTTGCTTTGCTTGCATTGCTGTTTGAGATTTCTCTGAGAGCCTTCAGACTCATGGCTCTGCCCTCAGTGTTGACACTTTTCAGCTCCTCGAACTTTTGGACGTCAACCAGCCAAGGCCTCCTCCCCTTGTCACTGGCTCGTTAGAGGTGTACTGTATGAGCGCTTGTGCTGCCAACAGCTGGAAAGGAGGATAAGGGTAGGAGGACACAGGCGATGGAAGAGTCCCACCTGTTCTTTGACCTTTGCTGTGAATGAGTCCATTACACATCTTTCAAAGAATGAGATCATTTGTCGAAGAATGAGTTCATTGGGTTTGCTTTCATCAACAGTTCATCTAAGGCTCATGGAATACTATTTTTACTAGGGCGAACGATGACGAGCATGCTGGGTTAAATGAATAAAGTGGTTGCCGTGTAGATGCTAGACACGCGTGACACACAGCAAAGACAACAACTCCAAGACAAGGAAAGAGCTAGCTAAAACATAGCAAGCTCGTCCCTCCTTTGCTCCAGACACTTATAATGAATTTTGGGCATTAGCACTTGGAATGATTGTATGGGCTAAAAGATGAAATATACGTCAGATTAGACAAGGAGCAAATCGATGAGGCGGATTAAACCAACAAAATGGCAGCGTGGTCTTGAGTGTACCAACACCTGGCTGAACGTTGTATTAAGAGTAAAATCCCCTAAATGTTGAAAACACATTCTAGCTCGCTTTAGCAAGAGACTTGCAAGCTCGTTTGATAATGCAGCTCAATCCGATGCTTCATACTGAAGCTGATCCAACAACATCGATGCTGATCAGTAGCTTACAATGTTTGCCTTTCCCTCGCTCTTAGATCCCAAAAAAATAACGAATTTCAACGACGTGCTTATTGTAACCCGACATGGCGTGTCGTCAAGTGACAGTTATCATACATTGCCATTCCGTGCCTCCCTCACATCTTATATCTTAACTTGTACTAGTCTATCTCCTCCATCTGAGCTTTCATCACAGCAACTCAGATACTTCCCGTCTACGCTCCCGCCCTCGTTGTCTTGTGCCTCTGAGATGCGCTTGACCGATCTGGCGATGCAGCCAAGCGCTTTTCGCTTCCAGTCTGACAGCTGATCGAATCGATCCTTGTCGATGCCAAGAGCCCCGACATGCTCGTCCCAGGAATATCGCTCAGACAAGTTGTTGAGGGACACTGATCGTTGCATAGCTGAGCGAACAGGTGCAGCTGGAACAGAGCTGGAAGGAGATTTCCCACAATCAGGAAAGAAGTGACTGGCAGAGGATGGGGGGGGAGAGGAGGAGGAGGAGGAGGAGGAGGATAGGAAGGTGGAAGAGATGCAGATGTCGTCCTGGCTGACGGGCATGTCTGGCTTTTCTTGTTCGCTCTTGTTGAGACTTTTATGGAGAAAAGGGAAAAAAAGTTTACAAGAATACTTTTAGCCGGTTCAGGTGTCAAACTCGAAATGTATTGTTTTCGAATCTTCCTTAGTTTAAGAGCCGGTACTTTGCGCCGGTACGTACCTGGTACGAGCCTGAGGGGTCACATGAGTCCGCGTCCGAGAGCTTCGAGTTCGGAGTTCAGTCCGATTACTGTCAGCGTGTCACACTACTGGCACTCCAACATTTACTCAAAGTTAAGGTAAAAATCAGTACCAGTCTGAGGGTGCTCGGATGGTACCGTGACTCCGACACCCGTCGCGGCGCGGCGGGCGGCGCCACGCCGCGGGTTCAACCCCCGGCCGCGGCCCGGGTCACCGGGGGCCGGCGGCCCGGCCGCGGTTCACCGTCACTGTGACCCCCGGGCGGCGAGGCCGGGGGCCCGGATCACCGGTTGAAGAGGCCACTGACGGACCGCGCCCGGCCTCTTTTGTCTCACGCCACTTAGCCTGGCATGCCCGCCCAGCCCCCGGCGCGCGGCTCACCGTGAGTACGGTCGGTCAGTCCGAGACGGTCGTCGCAGGCCGCGCTCCCGGAGCCTGGTCCCCGCCCCGGTCTGAGGCAAGTTGCCACCGCGCCCTGGCGGTCCCCCGGTCCGCCGATGATCAGCGCCTCTTGAAGGCCAGTGACTCGAATTCAGGCCGGAAGAGGGCGCGCGGTCCGTCGCGGCCCCGCGGCCCGGCCGGGCGGCCGGGATGGCATCGGATCAGTCAGTGACAACCGTGAACTTGAAACTGACGTGAACTTCAGGCTTGCCAACCGACAGCATCGGGGCGGAGCCTCCGCCGAGCCGCCGGCCTAAAAGACTCTCGAACGATAGGCTCGGTTGAACGGACTCGGGACGGTCATACTGGAGTCCGAAGGCCCGTGACCTGAGTGATCCGGCGGTCTACACTACGGTAGAGCCTAGCCTAGTAGCCTGGGCGACTCGAGCTACAACTAGGCTATCGACAAGCAGCCTGCCACCGAAACTCCGAGGCTCAGTTTACTTTCAGCGATCTCCAAACGATCAGACATCAAGAGCCTGAGAGGGTTCACTGGCCAGAGGCTGACAGTGAGCATGAAGGAGGAGGGAGGAGGGAGGAGGGAGGAGGGAGGAGGGAGCCTGCGGAGGAACTTAAGGAGGCACCACCGTAGCTAGTTCTGTAGGTTCTGCAAGGCCTCCATGACGAGGGAGCGGAACTTGCCGTCCTTGACGTTCACCTTGCTCACGTCGTCCTTGCTGATAGTCTCCAGTGCTGCTCCCAGCAGCCTCATGGCGTTGTTGTAGTTCCTGTCAGTCACCCCCACGAACTCCATGTCGACGTCTCCTCCTCGGGTGAGGATCGCCATCTGCAGCTGCAGGTCGATCTCTCCGTCTGTGCACAGGATGCCGCCCGCAAGCCTGGGATGCAGCATGGAGCTGCTGCTCTCGGGGAGGATCCTCCACACCCCCAGCTCGGCGTCGTTGTTGCCGAAGAGCAGCTGCCTGTGCTTGCTCCACAAGTCCGTGATCTGCGACGCTGTCCCCTTCCCCTTGGCGACAGCCCAGAGGGCGGGGAGAGGTTCTTCCCAGAGGTCGTAGCAGTCCTCCGAGTAGAGAGCGACGTGCAGTAGCACGTCGTTGAACGACAGCCTCGGGTCCTCCTCGTCCGAGCAGCTGAGCAACTGGGCAAACATTCCCCCCCAGAGCCGGGAGATCCGCTCGATGGGCTCATCCGCTAGGATCATCTTCCTGCTGAGAGACACGAGCGTCTGGATGAGAAACACAGTCTTCTCCTCTGCGTTGTCGCTCATCTTGCACGAGATCATGTCCTGCATGTGCGTCGACGCCCAGATCAGACAGTCGACCAGCGTGCTCTCAGTCTCTGTCGGCCTGTCGCTGCTGCCGCCGTCGGGTTGACCCATCGCCCTCAACAGCGCTTGCGGAGAGTCGAGCGAGTTGTCGTAGAGTATCGTCATCCACAGAGCTGTGCGGTAGGGGCTCAGGTACTTGTCCTCCTCGGCGTTCTCCATGCCGATCTGATACTTGAGAATGTCCTTGGCAATGGCGAGGCTGTCGGAGGGAGAAGACTTCTTGAGCAGCGAGCACAGGTTGTCGTTCTTGAGTGCCGAAAGCACCTTGGCAGGGGAGGTGCAGACGGAGAGCAGCTCCACCAGCAGCGAGCTGTCTTGCACGGGCTCCGTGTTCCAGCACTTGTTCTGCACGTCGTTCCAGTCCACCGAGTGTCCGTGCTTGACGGCATCGATGATGTCTTCGAGCCTGGAGTAGTCGCCCCCCCAGGAGAAGGCGATGCCCTCGGCAAGCTCGTTGTTGCACTCCACCTCCAGCTGCAGCGGGAACCCGCACTGATCCACGAGCTTGTTCTCGAACATGACCTGCGGATCGTCCATCTTGCTGCATCGCTCGACCCCGCCTGATGCGGGGTCCTTCCTCGCCTGCGCACGCATGTGGCAGCACCAAGCCGCGATTCTCAGAGCAGGAGGAGCGTCGTAGGCGCGATCGAGGCCGAAGGAGACGAAGTCAGGGAAGTCCATCCCGAGGTTGTCGGCGTTCTCAGTGAGGAGAGCCGCTTGAAACATGGAGGCCACCATCCCCTTGAGGCTCCGAGTGATGGAGAGGATCGGGTCCTCCCCCCTCTTCGCTCCCTCCATGGCCGCCAGGAACGCCTCGGCGAACTGCTGTGCGGTAATGGTGGACACTGTGGGAACCTTGTTCAGCAGGAACCCAGCAAGCTTCTCAGCTGAGATGGACGAGGTCTGCGACAAGATGTCCTCGAGCTCGGCGATCCCTCGAAGGGACACGGCCTCGCCCCCAAAGATGCACCGGGCGCAGTGCATCCACTTGCGGATCCCTGAGCCGTTGCGGGTCTTCTTGGCGTCCATCACCTCGCTCAGCAGGGTGTTTCCGAGACGCGTCACGATGTCGACCACGCGCTCGGGCTCGATGCCGATCTTGGTTCCATCCTCCTTGAGCTGTTTCAGGTGCTCCAGGTCTCGGGAGTCCTTCCGGTTGGCAATCAGCAGCACGTGGAGCCTTCGCACGTTGAGCCGCAGCCACTGGAAGAGCTGAACCTTGTGGACGTCCTTGAGCATGTGGAACTCGTCGACTATGAGAAAGAGGTGAGCCGAGGAGTCCGCGATCTCGCACTCGAGGATCTCCGTCAGGGCCATGTCGACAAGCCGATCGTCACTACCATCTATGAAGGCCTTGGACATCTGATGCCTTCCCTTGAGCTCCTCTGCGATCTGGTTGGAGAAGAAACTCTTTCCTGCTCCAGGGGGAGAGCAGAGGAGGACGAGGCAGGGCTTGGCTTCCAGCATGATGTCTTTCAGCGACGTCCTGTAGTCGGCAAAGTCTTTCTCGCTCTTACTGCCCCCTTCCCCTCCGAAGAACTCCGACACAAACCTCTCGGTCTTCTCCCAGCTGCTGTAGAAAGGCTTGCCATTGACAGCCTCGAACTTGGCGATGGACTCTTTCATCCTCGGGTAGGGCTGAATGTGTGTGGGGCGCAGTCGGACAACGTGCTCTGACTGCAAGTCTGCCTCATTCCGGATGCTCCTCTCAATAGGAGCAGGAGCAAACTCATACACGCACCGATCTCTGTTCTCCGAGAAGTTCCAGCTTGTCTGCGTGTTCTCTAGGTACACGAACCGCCACGGGTGTATCCGAGTGTACTCCGCCAACCATTTCAGCAGCGCGTCCTCGATGCTGTCAAGCCCGGTCACGTACACCAGCCAAGTGTAGGCCGAGAAGTGACCGATGATGGTCAGGTACATGCTCGCGTTGTCCTTCGATCGAGTCAGCGCGTCATATCCCAGATCGCAAACTTCAACGATGGCCCCGTGCTTCTTCAGCTCTCCCAACGTGCCCCCACGAACGATGTGCACGCCGTACAGGTCGTTCTTGCGCTTGCAGAACGGCAGGAAGTGAGGAGGAACATGGAAGGACCTCTGGAAGAGCGAGAGGCAGTGGTTGGGGGAGGGCAGCGAGATCGCCACACAGTGGGCGATGACGAGCAGGTTCAAGTCTCCTCCTATGCTGCCGGAAGAGCTGTCTTCGATGCACAGCGACGGGACCCTCGCGGTCGTTGGGCCCTTTTCGAGCTGGTTAAGGAACCAAGACTTGGCGTCTTCTGGCAGGGGTGACCGGACAAGATTGCAGAGCCAGCTGAGCAGGTCACTGCGGTGAGAGAGCAGGTCGTAGATGTGCTCTGATATGTCCGTGTCTCCCGAGATGTTCGACTTCTTGGTCTTGACCTTGAGATAATGTTCCAACGACTTGACTAGGAGGCTCTTGTGGAACACGTAGACTATCGGCAGCCCGTCGCGCTCGTTGTACTTGATTTTGAGCCTCTTGACGTCGATCTGAACTTGATACAAGGGAACCTTCTCCCCTGAGAGAGACATGACGGCAAACTTGGAGCAAACTCTGTTCCCGTAGCCCCAGGTGGCTGGGAACAAGGAGTTCTGAGCTGTTCCGGAGTTGCTCTCAGGGTTATCTGTCGGCAGGTCATGCACATCGTCTATGTAAGTGACTTTCTCCTCTTGTCCTTGGCCGAGGTTTCTCTCCTTCTTCGCCGAGTCGATGAGACGCTTGGTGTTGTCATCGGTCTTCTTCGTGTAGACCTTCTCCTGCTGCTTCTCCTCCCCTTCCGAGTCAGAGTCTTCGAAGTGCTGAGTCCAGACCGACTGCGCGTTCAGCCGCTTCCGTCTGGTGATGGAGGTCAGAAACTCCACCGACTGCTCCATGAACTTCTGCTGGGTGATGTGCTCGTGCGCCGTGATCAGGTTGTTCAGCACCGCGTTGGCATTCCGCGTCCCATCGTTATCGAACCGAACAAGGTACGGCTCGTCGTTGTTGGCTTCGAAGCTGATTCTCAGCTCTCCATCCACCTCTTCGTTGATTTCCAACTCGTCTCCTCCATTCGCATCGTCCAACCTTGCCAGGAAGCTGCTCTGATTATGCTCCGCCAACTTCAAGGTGAACACCATCTGTGACCTTGGCACCCAGTCTCTGATCCCGACGATGAGCGACAGGTTGTTGGACATGGCCTCTCCCAGGTGAGTCAGGCACTGGCTCTCGACATTCAGATCCTGCTCCAAACTCGGCAGATCCAGGTACTCCAGCACCGTGTTCAGCCCGTTGTCATCCTCCTTGATCTCATCCATGATCCTCAGGATGGCTTCGCAGACGATGTTCTCGGACCGGATGTAATCGCAAAACAAGTTCTCTTCCTCCCCCTGCTCGTCGCTAATACGCCTGAGCTCATTCAGCACCTGATCGATCTCCTTCAATTCATCTGCATCCCAGCCACGAGCTTTCTGCGCAGCAAAGTACGACATCTGGACGATTGATTTGATCGTTTCAAGAACAGCAGCGTCGAAGTCGAGCACTGCTAGCTTGCAGACGTCTAGCAAGGTGTAGAGGAAGACAGGAGGGTTCTTTGCGCTATCCAGAGATGCTGCTCCCAACAAGACCATCCAGTCTCCTTCCAAGTTCTTGCGCAGGTAGAACCCCTTGGCTGTGATAGTCGACAACCTCGGGAGGTTGTTGAGATGCTCCCAGGCTCCCCCGTTGTGGGAGAAGATGGCTTCTATCTCAGCGAGCTGCCCCAGCTCTGCCTCGTCGAAGCTCTTCTGCTGTCGTCGCCGCAAGTTGGTCTGCTGCGACAGAGGAATCTTTCGTGAGTCTCCGGGGCTTCGCAAGACCGGGTTCAGTCCTGGCACGATATGGACGATGCCGTAGCCGTCCTTGATGTTGAGGCTCACCAGCTTGCGGGCTGAGATCGTTCGCTCCGCCTGATTCATGTCCCTTCGCAGCTTGCCGGTCACTCGCGAGCTCTTGGACTGCTGGGGACGGAGACGATCGGAGGAGAAGGCGGTCTTGAAGAGCGTCAACGTCTTTCGCTCGACAAGAACTTGAGGGCTCTGCCTGTCATGATCGCGAACATGATCGAAGTTGGCGAACCTCTTGTTCTCCACGTTCTTTGCCCTCCTTCGCGCCATGCTGCCTCGATCTGCAGTCTCAACCGCAGGCGCAGAGGAGGTGTGGAACTCGAAGCCCTCCTTGAAGATAATATCCTCATAGATCTTCAACTCTCTGCCAGCATTTAAGATATCCTCTATCTTTTGCGGCAGCAAGGTTTGAGCCGGGCATCTCACGTAATGCTTGTGTTTGTGATTCCTTCTCTTCTTGCTGCCCACAAGATCCAACAGTCTTTGAGACAGCTGCTTGTAGTCATACTTCGCATACAGGTTCGTTGCGATGTACTCAATCTCGTTCAGAACTGACGAGCTGTAGACAATGTTTTGTCTTTGCCACTCACGAAGCATACACACAACCTCAAACCCCTCGTTCACTGGGGTGATCCCAATCAGCGTGTACAGCGTGTCTGCTACAGTGACCTGCAGCTTGTCGGAACATCTTTTCAGACCCGAGCACAAGCCTTGGACGCAACTTTGAATGATTGCCTCGCCGTCACATGATCGCAGCTGTGAGAAGAAATCTGCGATGGTCACCATGTCTTCGACGACTCTGCTTTGCATCTGAGCCTCATTCGTAGTGAAGTCCCTCTGAGCAATCGCAGGATTCCTACTGGTCTCCTTGAGGTTGGTTGCCACGTCAGCAAACTTTGCTTCCAAGGCTGATCCATCAATCTGCCATGTACTAGTCAAGTCACATTGAGCTGCGAGCACATACACACCGCTTCCAGGAAGGTCCCATGCCCACATTCCGCCAGCCTCTTGAGCTTGTCCACCTGCAACGAGGTCCCGAAGGCAAGCGTGTTGACTTGAAGGCCGTACTGCGAGTATTTAGAGTAGAGAAGCTGCAAACCTTGTTAGAGGTCAACGCGTAGAGAACACAAAATTTGACCTGCATCTCCCGCTCTCCGTTCTCATGCGAGTCGCCATCGGACATGAACAAAATGACTGGAGGAAGCTGAGAGTTGTCCGTCTGCGACAAAATGCGGTCGACCTCGCTCAGAGCAGGTCCGAATGAAGTGCCCCCTCCTTTGAGAACAAGGTAAGCGTCCAACTTCGCTAGCGCATCGTCTAGAGTGATATTCTTGCACAGAGTCCTGGCAGATGAGTTGAAGGCAACCATAGAGATCATGTCTTTTGCGCTTGCAGTCTTACGAATATTGAAGAAAGTTCGAACTGCAGCTACGAGACTTGCCCAACCTGACCCTGCCATGGAGCCAGAGTCGTCCAGCACGAAGATGACGTGGAAGTTTGCGGGGTCGTCTTTGTACTCAGCGGAGAAATCCACTTGTGAATACTTCTGCTCAAGCTTATGAGCTATGCTCTCCATGACCTCCTCCATCAACTTGAGCGGAAAGTTCTGGTCGTATGTCTCCCCGTCTCTGATCTTCTTCGTGTGCTGCAGGTATCGGGTGATGGGGCCCATGTCTCTCACATCGAACTGCAGCAGAAGGGTCAACAGCCACTGGATCGTCAAGCTCTCGCTGTCGGAGTTGCCTTGGAACAGCGGAATGTTGTCTTTGCCGCTCCGGAAGCGAACATCCATGTACACTGGAAGAGGACAGTAGACCATCTCGGTAGTGAACTTGGGCTGGCTCCATATCTTTCGCATCTTGAGGAGGTTGTTGTTGAGAGTTTGCTTCAGCCTACTCCCACTCATCTTCCCGAGGTCTTCAAGAGACATGCCTGCAGCATAGAACCAAGCCAAGCCCGTCAGGAAGATCTGCGCTCTCTGCTCCTGAATCTTGGTCTCGTCGATGGAGTTGAGGGTGTCGTCGATATGCAAGAGGATGTTGAGGTTGTGCAGCACAAGCTCTGGGGTGACGCCCTTGTCTGTGATAGGAAACATACGCCTGAACTTCTCCTTCTCCTGGAATTGAAGTCCAGGGAACTGAGAGTTCTCCATAGACTTGATGAGGAAGTCTACACAGCTCCTCGGAAGGTGGCGGGAGTGACACCTAAAACTGTACACGGGCCATCCTGCTTTCTGAGCCTGACCGACCACGTAGTTCTCGTTCTCGATGAGGTTCTTCGTGCCAATCACGTTGCGCTTGATCGCGTTGAACATGCTGGCTGGCAGCGTGTGAGGAGCAAGAGTGAACCTGGCAAGATTGCTCAGCCCCTGCAGCGACGAGAAGGAAGGGTCAGCTGCTCGAGCGACTTTCTTGAAGAGCATCCAGCTTCCTGGCTGCGGGCTGTGACGCAGCTGCAGGGACCGGGCAGGACAGGCCCACCAGCAGAACCAAAGGAGGGCAAGGAAGGACTCGTTGCTCTCCTCTGGTGTAGCGTTCATGACGGTAAACATAGTGCTCCTGGAGAGCTCGTTGTGCAGCAGCTCGACGTGTTTCAGCAGGTCAGCCTCCTCGAACGTCTTGTTCTTGAAATGCATGATGTAAACCGTGCAGAGCTTCTTGGAGCTTTCAAACGGCAGGTCGAACTTGTGGGACAGTGCCATCTGCATCAGGTCCCTGGCACACTCGTTATCGGCAAAGGTCTTGTAGATGAGGGACCAAGGCTCAGGAATCAGGTCAGAAGGGAAAAGCACTGGCGGTTCGAATCCATGTTCGGACAAAACTTCAATCATCTCTACAGCAAGAGCTCGAGTCTGCTGCGTGCACAACCCGTTCAAGAACTCTGCATAGAAATCGAAGGCCTTCTCCTCTCCATGCGCTGCCTTGATGGCTTCGAGACTTGGCACGAGGATCCCATCCCTGAAGAGGGTGAGCTTGTACGGAGGATTAGCCGACTTGACAAGGTGAAGGAGAGCCTTGGGCCTCACCCGAGCTGCGATCGACGTGGAAGTATTGACCATGTCCACCATTGCAACTGAGTCTGCGTCCTTAGCCCATTCCAGCCACCCGCCAAGAATATTCTTCATCACCGACCCATATGTCTCTTGGAGTATCTTGGTCAAGTTTTCTTTGGACAGGCAAACGCTCATCAGAGCTCTACCGATCCTGAGGCTCGGGTCCGACAGCATCTTGCTGATCTCAACTTTGTTCTTCTCAGACATGATGAAGTCTCTGATCGCATGCTGCTCGCTCAATGTCTCCACCTTATCCAGCGCGATCATCGCCCTTGCGACCGAGAGGTACAATTGAAGCTTCTCACCGCTCGTTACTTGATCATCGGAGCCCTTGGTCTCAAAGAAGATGCCGTTCTTCAGCAGCAGAATCTGGTCCTCCTCGAAGTAGTCGTTGGTCAACACGGCAGTGGACCCAGAAACCAGTAGCAGCCACCAGATAGCTGCCGTTCGAGATCTCAGCACGTAGAACTTGTCAGTCGGCAAGCTGTGGAGCAGTCCCTGGCAAGCAGAGTAATCCCTCTCGATCTCCTGGATCCCATCCTTGCCCAGCGTCAGGTTCACGATCTGGGAAGGGCTCAAACTCAGCAGCAGCATGATTCGGCTGGGCGAGTGCGTGCAGATATGCTTGAAGACTTCGCTGGTGAGCTCAGGGCCTGTCTGCCACTTGACAAACATCTCCTCCCAGTTCAGCTCCGCTCCCACGATGGACTGATGCTCCATAATCTCCTGGTGTCGGATGATGGCGTCGCCCTTCCCGGGGTCGAGGTACATGGGGTACTTGGAGCGGTTATCATGGAGGTGTGACTGATGGTAAGACAATTCAGCGCACAAGAGCCTGCCGGGGTTGTTGGCACAGTGAACATTGGCGTCCCCCAGGTTGGCCGTTTGAATCAGGGGGAGGCCGAAAGGGAGGTTCTTCTCCCTGTGAACTAGAGAGCTGCCTTCGTCTGTGTTCTGACAAAGAAAATGGATGTACGCCTCAATGCGATGCAGCTGGCTCAAGAACCGAACGCAAGGTTGACGACAGAAGTCCGCAAAGCAGATCAATGGCATCTCATCAGTCCAACTTTCAGATGTGCATCGGATGTAATGGTTGACATGCCGTGCAAGGAGGCCAGCAAGAGTTTTGCATTCCTCTTCCAGCACTTTGCAAGGTACCATGATGGGCTGATCTGCCTTGGACAGATTGCTGAAGATCTCCTCCAGGACATGCTTGTTCTCAACTCTCAGCAAGTCGTCATTCTGGTCAAGAAAGTTCAGTAGATTGAGATTCTGCATCCCTCCTCTCATGAACTCTTCAATAAATCCTTTCTGGGTATCAGTAATGATGTGATCTAAGGAGAACATCAACTTGAGACCTCTGCAGATCAACCCGTACTTGTCAATATTCTTCTCCGGGTAGATATTATTCCTTTGAGTCAGTATGGGAGCATGAATCCATGTAGGTGGCGAACGACTGTCCTGATAGATTCTGAATCTGCAGAGGCTGACAAGCGGGCATGTAACCAGCAGAACGATCTTGACGTTCGACTTGAAGCACCGAGATATCAAGACTTCGAGCTTTCTCTGTGGGAGGAACGAAGCTCTTGAAAGGATAATCGTTGGGCACTTGATCGAGCTGTTCACATTCTTCTGGCGATTCTTCTCCTCGGCCCGAGCGCCTGTGATACGAAGCTCTGAGTTCTCAGACAAGAACTCCTTCAGGTTGTCAAAGTTAGATCTGTCTCCGGCATCGATCAGTCGTATTTTGACAGCCTCATACGCCGATTCATAAATAGTATTAGCAGTCCAGCTGTGATCCGAGCACACTAGAATGCGAATGAAACTTTCCATCTTGTCCGCCTGAGAGACAGGCTGGTCCATCCACTCCCTCACAGTCTGTAGCCACCTCCCGCACTCCATGGCGTACTTGAGAGGAGTCTCTTTGCACCAATACGAACGGCAGAGCTCTTGAGGAGTTTTACAGAGTCGATCGTAGGTTTCATTCAGTACGGAGCCGACAGCAGATTGCCTTGAGAATGAAATGGGCAGGAATTTCTGGTCAATAGATTCTCTGATGCTATCGGGACGATAGATGAGGTCTTTAAATGACGGACTGAATTCCAACAGCTTGAGTATGCTGTTCGAGTGCCGGAAGATCATCTTGAAGGCAGGAGCTGGTAACGTAATGAGCTGATTCATCTGGTCTGCCGTGATCTTCCCAGTGATGTTCACATACAGGAACGTGATGGAAGTTGGGTTCGCTTGCTTGAGCTTCAAGAAGAGAGACTCGAAATTGCTTTCCTCCACAAAGACTTCTTCTTGTGCAAAGTGAGTTTCCTTAGAAATGATTGTGGGCAAGTAGGTCAGGTGATCTTCAGAGACGATTGCGATCCTCTTGTTGAGATTTGCCCTCATGCCAACGAAATGCACGGATCTGTCTGCATCGGAAGCCTCAGGGCTCACGACATTGAAGTTGTCATTTTCAAAGCTGTTGGAAGACCCCGCGGTGATCAGATTCAACACAATCCTTCTGCTCTCTTGCTCAGTCACACTCAGTCTGTTCAGATTCTCGAAGGCCCCCTTCATCTTCGATTCCCAAAACTTAGTAACCAAGTTTGCAAGATCCGGGTGGACAGCGTGTAGCAGCTGGACACTGGCATAGTACAAAACCAGCGCGTTGTTCTCAATCTCCTTCATGATCAAGTTTGAATAATCATCTTGAGTCATGTTTTGTCGATCGATGGCATTCAATCCAAGCACCTCTGAAGCACAACAGTCAGAAAATCGACATCATTCACAAACAAACTTCAATCACAACATGAACATCAGGACGTTTTGATTCAACAACTTCGAGCTAGAATATCAATACCTGCGATTACTTCTGCACTCTCCATGAACCCTTGACCTCGCGGTGCTGTCGCGGTCAATCGGCCAGTTCCAGTCTGGTACACGGCACTCGGGGGCATCAGCACAGCTAGACGGTAGAAGGGGAGGACTTCGGTTGATTCACCAACCTGACAAACTGAGGCGATCGGCTCCACGGCCAAGGCACTGTACCCAACACCCTCAGTCTTGACGTTGCCAACCTCGCGCAGGTCTATCAGAAATCGGCTTCCTGCATCTGAGATGTCTTGAAAATGGGACCCGCCTTCCGATCTCTTGTCGTTGAGGACAAGCAGGATGTGAGTGAACTTTGGAGTCGACGGATTTGTCTGCGACAAGATCTCTTCGACCGTCTTGGCGTTGGGAGAGTGCTTGTCACGGTTGACGAACTGATAGAAACTGATTGAGTCCGATGTTTCTATCCCTAGACCGCAAGTCTTCAAGACATCCACCGTATCGTCATGTTCAACACTGAGGTCAAAGTTCAGATAGTTCCCAGACAGGCTCAAGCCTATCTCAAACAAACGAGAGTCCAGCTCTTGCCGAGAGTCATTAGAGTCTGTCTTCCTGTACAAAGAGACCATCCTGACAACTACCGACTTTTCTTCGGACTCGGGGACTCCCTTTTTCTCATTGTGTGCCATCTTGTACCCAAACACAGCAATGCGCCTTCCTTCGCCGTGCATGGTCTTGGCATCCTGCACTTGTTTCTGGGACTCCAAGATTGCTTCCCGCACACACGCCAGACGTCCGGCTCTCCGAGCATTCTCCCGCAGGTTCACCTTTCGTTCCATGTAAACCTTGATGTAGCTCGTGAGATTCGTCATCATCGACGGTGCACTGAGGTCGTCAAGGAACTTGAAGATCTGTGGTTCAGGCACTCCTTCAAAGTCCAGCACCGACTTCCACTTATCCCACACTCGCTTCTCCTCATTCACATATCCCTCGATCTGCTCTAGAGTAGCAGTCTCTTGTCCGCCAGGATGGTCATGGTAAAACCTGTCAAGCTCGGTGTTTTCAAAGTCATAGCGATCAACACTGTCCAGCTTACAAAACGGAATCACTCCGACGTCTGCGGCCCGTCGCATGGCACTCTCGAGAGATTGTTGAGCTCGGTAATAGTGTTCCATGCACCGGATGATGAACATCTGAACCTCGGTGTAAACGTTGTTCAGCTCATCATTCTGAAGGTCCTCCAGTTTCTCAGCACGTTTCAACCATTCCTCGGTCAAGTTTGCATCAAGATCTCCAGGCATCTTGTCACGAGTCGTTCCAACGAGACCTCGGAGTATGGCTGCCATTTCAACAGGATGGTAACGCTTTGACCTCACGTGCACTATGGAGAAACCAAACTTCTCTTCTGTGTGCTTCTCAGTCGACGTGGAGACTCCAGTCAGCTTTTCCAGATGATAGCTCAAAAAATCTCTGTCCCAACGATCTTCTGCACCGTAGAACCTCCTGTACCAATTGCTATCGGAATGAAGAGGCCTCATCGCCTCTAGAAGACTATCCATGTTGCTCTCTTCATTCTCAAGGATTCGAGGTCCCAGGCGTCGAAACGTCTCGTAGTAGATCGGCTGATTCAGACCAGTCAGCCGCGCTGCCACCAGGACCTTCCGCGCAACGCTGATCTTCACCCTCTCATAGGGAGCGTTCTGGATCCTAGAGTGCCAGAACTTGAGAGCCTCCCTCCACAGGCACGCTTCCTTGCCTCGTTGCCTCACATTCATCAAGTAGATTGCCTGAGTGTTGGTAAACCATACTTCATTGAAGCCCGTCTCCGGAGGTCTGTTGCCTTGTGCATTCGAGCTCGGTGCCAGTGCTCTCGGAACAGCTGTGGCTTCATTGTGAAGAGCGTTTCGGCCCGATTGCGAGTTGATGTCTCCATCAATGTCCTCTGCGTCCGAAAAGGATGCGTCTGACATACCTGCTGTATTCGTCATGTCAGGTCGGATAAGACAAATTTTTCAGAAATCGAAAATGCGCTGTACAGTCTTTGGTAGTCTTTTGCTTTCACTTTCTCAGGAAGCAGTGTGCGAGAGTATGGAAATGCATAGACGTTCGCAGAAGAGACAACACATTCTAGTTGTAAAGAGATGAAACAAGGGGTGCTTTTCAACAATCAGTCAGAACAGAATCAAACAGATCTATTGGGAAGGGATCAAAGGGTTTGGCCATCAAAGGCAGGAAAATGTGGAGGGGAGAAAGCAGAGCGTGACAGAAGAGGAGCAAAAGAGCAGAGCTAAAAGTCAGCAAAGAACGATGAAGAGAGGCAGATCCAGCACACATCAAGCAAGGACGGGGAGAAAATCAGCAGAGGACAGGACAGGACGGGACGGGACGGGACACGACAGGACGGGACAGGACAGGATACGACACGACACGACACGATAGGTGGGGAGGAGAGGGGATAAGAGAAGAGGAGAGGAGAGGAGAGGAGAGGAGAGGAGAAGATTTATAGGCGGGAGAGGACACGAAAGGGGGAGGGGGAGGGTGGCTCAGGAACGAGTGAAAGTGCAGAGGGTGGAGCGATATTTGTTGTACGACGAAAGGAGCAACAAGGGGTGTGTTTGAGGTAATTTGTACGGGTAGTCAGAAATGCAGCAAAGTGGGTTTGTGGGTGGGGGTAGAGTCCGCAAGCGTTGCATGTTGCTGGGAATCAAACTTGAACCGTTGCGAGTTGCTAGGAAGGTTTTGCTTAGGGGGTAGGGGTATCGTTTTTTTTACCTTGTCATATTTCTGGTTGAGCCTAGCAAGCAGGGGGTCAAAACCTGGTAAAGAGGAGGGGGTGGGTGGGGGTAATGTAGTTCCACAGGGGTGGGGGTGGATGGATGCGAGCTAGGTGGGTGCGGGTGGATTTCGGGATGTCGTAGAGGGGGGGAGGAGAGGAGGGAGGAGTAGCGAGTGAGAAGAGAGGAGTGAAAGTGTGGATGCTTGCTTCTGATGATGATCTGTGAACAGATGCTGGAGAAGAAGCGCAGAGGACCCAAGGAAGCAATGCACGCACACTGATAAGGCTAGTCCTTAACTCAGAGCAACTAGACCCATGCCGTCGATTCTCTTCCTGTTTTCTCAAGTAAATTCCTCGGATGACGCAAAAATCACAGTGGAAGGGGACACGATCGACGTAAAGAATAAATCTTTCGTGCTTTATAGGCTGAAGGGCAAAGGACTCTTGCAAAGTTTGGCAGAAGTATTGATGAAATACTACAATTGTTCTGTCAGTTTTCATGACGGTACTCAGAGTAGAGAATTCCAGCTTTCCCTGCCGAAAAAAGTTGATTTAAATATCTGTATTGTTCGGGGGGCATCGGAGTTTGCTTCTTCCAATGGCTTGTCTCATGCATTTTGCTCTTGGTGTTCTCAAAATCTGATGAGCAATGATATCAAGCTAGTTCGCCAAAAACTGGAATTGGTGTTTGACACAGACAGGAACTGTTCTGTAGTCGTGCTGGAGGGATCTAAAGGTAATGTGACTGGCCCAATACGTTTCTGTGACGTGCTCACGTCGGATGAATTTTCATCACAAGTCATCTGTGACATTTTCAATCGTCCGGAGATGTCTTTGTCCCGATCCATTGCACTTTTCTCGGCGAAACTGAGAAGTCTGATAGCCTGGACACCACTTCACGCAGTTTTTCATCAGCACATAGTTCATGACTTTAGCTCTTGCATGAGCAAGGCTGAGCGCAAATCAATCATCGACTCTATTTCACCTACTCAATTGGATACAGTGTTTGACACCCTCAGGCTCCCTCAATATGTGAGAATTTTCCTGGCCTTCACTTCGTCCTACTTCTCATCAGCATTTGATAGCGAACTTGAAAAACTTGTTTTGACAGACTGCCCTGATTCTTTCAATGGTGATCAAGACTTCGCCCTGCTGGCGGTGATGATAGATTCTTACATGCTGTTGGCTCAGAAAAGGACCTTCAGAGAAACAATTCGGCATGTCAAGGTCGCGGGATCATTTTCAGTCGCTGCACTCGCAACGGTACTGAATGTGAGAGATCAACCTACTGGACGACTTGAGGTGATGCTGACTCCGAGAGTAGATTTTAACTCGGTACAACTCCAATCAGTCAATTCGTTTCTGACTTCTTTTTCTGGAACACGTTCACATTCAAGAATTCTTTCAACGTTTGTCTCAATATTGAATAGATGTTGTGCGCAAATGATCCTAACGACTGGACCCTCAGACGCATGGAGCATTTTCAATCCAATACTTTCCGTCAATCAAATCATTGAAAATACAATCAAAGCAAGAAACAAAACAAGACTGATAGATGTCATTGGTGAGCTGCAAACCTTGAGTACCAAAGACAAGAATTTCCTCAATAACAACATTAATGGCGTCTCAAATGCTATGGTAAGGATGAGCAAGTGCGAAATCGAACGTAGATACTTGAGGTCGTTTCTTAGGAACATGCAAGTTGCAAAGCTAGAAAGGAACTTCGAAGAGTTTAATTTTGTTCACTTCTGTGACCAAGAGCACTTCTGTCAATTGATCAAGCAAAATGACTGGCTTCTGAATGCAGATGAAGCATTTATTGATTGGCCCTTGCTGCTCTCACAACAGTCTGAAAATCAAAAATTGTTCGCTCTCCACTACATCGAGAACTGGCTGGCAAACAAGCTGCCAGAAGTCACTCGATTCTTGCAATCACTGAGCAACTTGCGATATTCTCCATGGACTAAAACTGAAACGAAGATTGATCAATTTGCGATAAGCCCTGAATTGTACCTGACATTTCAAGAACTTTATGATTATTGTGTTTGTAATGTCAAACTATCGGATGCCAGGGGAGCATTGGGCGATTTGAATGTGATTTTTCTGCTCCGAAACCATCAGCTCTGGTCTTCAAAGTTGGTTTCAGCAATATTAAAGTCTCGTCCCCTAGAGCACCTGAGTACCGATCTCAGAAACGAGCGCATTTCTATACCGATAACTTTCATACGATTCTTGACCACAGAAACAGAGGCCGATGCGAAATCGAACAATACAAACTTTGGCGCATGGTATGGTGAAAAGCTGCGAATGAAACAGACGGCAAAGAGTTTTGAGATTTTTCTGCCGCCGAAGGATGTTGCCGAGCAGACGAAAGCGAGCACCGCATTCCGGGATTGGTTGAAACGAACTGTCAGTCATGTGGAGACAGAAGCAACAAAAAACCATTTCAAACTTCTTCAAGACAGACTTAGATCTGCACAGCTGATGACCTTTCCTGAATGCTACATTTCTGCCGACAATAATGCAATAGAAGCCATTGATTTTCAGAAGGCTGTCAACATCTTTCGTGACAAAGTTTCAGATTCCGAGCTGTTCAATTCATGCGCAAGGAAACTGTTGAGTACCTGTGAGGCAAATGGAACTTTCCAAGCAATCTATAAAGCAAGAGAGCTAGCTGTGCAAATGCTTCTTGAGACGATCAGGGGAGAAAAACATCACAAAGATGTCAAATCAAGAACTTCCAGTCAGGTGAACAAAAGCAAAGAGATTGAAGCCCTTGAATGCCTGCTGCCCCAAAATGCTTGTCGCGAGAGTGATCGAAAGGAACTCCTCTCGGTCTATTATGAGTTTGTTCACTCTGATCCAGCAGTCATCTTCAACTACTCCAAGAACATGATTTTCTTCTTCAAAGATGTGCTCAAATCAAACATCCCTCCTCGACTTCAAAGCTTTGTCACCCAGTATGAAGGGATTGACTTAAAAAAGCTTACCATGCTTGGTGAAAAATTGAAATGGGACGATCATGACTTGATTTGCAACGCAATTCTCCATCCTCAGGTGGGAACCTTTCGTCACATGCTCGTACAATTTCGGGATGACATTCTTGATAAGACGGCAGAGCATTGCTGGCCACAGATAGATTCTTTGTCACAGCTTGCCCCAATCTTGTCATTCCTCGGAGAAGTTTGTCCGACAAGAGATTCGTTAGAAAGAAAGTTGAAAAACTTGAGAGTTATGATCATTGCCAACAGAAACTTAGCTCGACCCGTCGCTTTGCTTGATTCTCTATCGCACACGGTATACGAGATGTGCAATGCGTCGCAGCCAGACGCAGCACTAGCGGCTGTGTGCAAGATATTGAAATCTCAGATCTTGATCAATGTGGCAGAGGCAAACCTCTCGATGAATCAGCTGGTTCAGTTGTTTCAGTTGGTCGATTCTCCAGACTTGATTGCAAGGAAGAATTTCAGAATCCTACGACAGAGCAAGTTTGTGATCGACATGGAAAGACTTGCGTCCTTTGCCAGTGAGCCTTTTGATGAGGGCCAAGCAGGCTTGGTTGTTTCTCTAGAGACTGGAGATAGCGACAGCAAATTTCGCCTACTGGGAGGTCGCGTGTGGACTAGGATAGTCGGGCAAGACATGTTTGCTTTGTTCACTGAGGTGATAGTTCAGATCAACTCGGAGAAAGAATTGAACCCATCGGTTGAGGACCCAGAACTGGACAAAATGATTGTCAGCATCGAAGAAATGCAAGCCCGTGCCCATGAGGTTTTGAAACTTGCGAATGTATTCCTTGAATATTTCAAACTTGGCTGGAGCTACAAATCAAGTGGAAAGATAGATTTCAACTGCGTCCAACCCGAGCAGTATAGATTGGGTGCGCTAAAGATTATGCGAGAGAAGAGACCTGAGGACGAGATCTCGTCAAAGAACTTCATCTCGAGTGAGAGCAGAAACCTCAGAGACATCTACCTCCGAGCCCGCGACCGCTTCCCTTGGACGTCATTCTGTTTTCGTAGAGACGTGATGACCATGAAAGACACTCCTTGGGTCAAACTTGTCAACGGCATAGCATCGACCTATCCGGACGAATCTTGCGATGCTCCTCCTGCACCCACTCAACTGGAAGGTGAATTGTTTCACTGGCTGACCTCAAAGAGCAAAGCTAGCCTTGGGTCCGTGGAGTCAAAAGCAAAGTTCGAGGGCTTTCCCTTGGATGCAATTCGCTCCGGGAGTCGTATCTGGTTGGCAACAAGCGTGAACGATGACATGATGACTGTAACGCTGTCGATGCTCCAGCTGTTGGCAGTCAACTACCCCCTGGAAACCTCCCTCCTCCCATGCGACTGCTCGGTCACTCACGAAAGTTTTCAAGGCCTAATTTGGAGGATTGAAGCAGCGTCTGAGCTGGTAGATAGAGATGCAGAATACTTTGAAGTTGCTCGCGTTCTCCTATGCCAAGGCGGAGTTGTTATCCACAGGCCTGAGACATTAAAGCACACCATCCAAGATCTGCTGGTTTCAGCGCTGCTCAGGTACATGACTTGTTGTTCACGATCGTCGAGGGTCTACCCGGTCATCGCCTTGATTCTTCCTGAGGGCAGCAGTCGCTTTCAAACGATTCTCAGGTCCATGGTGGAAGTGAGGATGGTGAACACGTCAGAGTTGATAGCCATGCAAGAGGAGTCGATGGTCACTTGCACCAACGTGAAGTCAGTGGTGGTGATGCCGACTGTCAACTCAGCCCTAGGACGACGACCAGACGATCATCTTGTCCCTAGCGACACGTTCAGAGTGCAGCTATCCCATGAGATGACCATCCAGGACCTCGTGCGAGTCATCAAGCAGAGATCTGACGACGACAAGCCGATCTCTCTTGACTTTGGAAGCAGCTTCGCATCCTTTGCGAATGGATCTTTATCTGGAGTCATCATCTCATACTTCTTGTGGGGGGTGGTAGGGCAGCTTCACTTGCAGCCGATAGTACTTCGACATGCCACCTCCTTGTACGCAGAGATAGTTTGCGATGACAGCAGCTCCCTCAAAAGGAGGTTCCCGATCCTCAAGCTTGTGCCTCCGCAACGGATTTCGGTCATTTCACCTTTCGTGATCAATTTGGATGATAGCGTTTCAAATTTGAGTCCAAGTTTTCATCAGCTTGTTCAGTCATGCACTCACCGCCCAGTGTATGATCGAGATGTTATGAGAGCCATGCAGGCGTTGTTTGAAGTCAACTCAGATGCTGGCAGCCCCAACAAACAACCATTGCCCTTCGTCTACACTCCTCTTGCCCTGACCATCATCAGCAAAATAGCCTTGCAGGTCAAACAGGCCTTCCAGGCTGAAGCGACAGGAACCTTTCCTGTCTTGCTCAGCGGTGACACAGGAACCGGCAAGACATACCTCTTGTACAAGTTCCTGGAGCTTCTCATGGGGAGTGGTGTGCTGGAAAACCTGAGTGACACAGTTTCAATCTACACCCTTTCAGCAAGATTCAAAACCCGAGAGATTGAAGAACTTGGGCTGGAAATTAAGAAGGAAGCGTTCAACAAGAGTGCAGGAAAGTCCAAGAGACGGGAAGTGCCGATGGTGATCCTAGACGAAGTCACGAGCAGCCCAGCCCAAGAAGCCATCAAGCGCCTCATGGCAAACCGAGAGATCAAGAACGGAGTGTCGAACCTCACTCGGATCAAGCACAATGACCTCATCCTGCTGGGTACCTGCAACCCTGACCCGGTGCGAGACGACGTCTTCTCCCTCTCCCAGGAGATGGAAACAGTCAAGATCGACGTACAGAACCTTGACGCAGGTGTCAGGAGAAAGTTCATCGAAGAGCGACTGCAAGACAGAGAGTACGGGCTAAAGTTGCCGAATGCTGAAACCTTTAGGAAGGCAGTGGTGCTGATAGAAACTTCCTTCATGGCAGATGAACAGAACGCCTCCTTCATAGGCTGCGTCTCTTTGCGCGATGCTGTCCGGTGCATCTCGCTGGCTAAGAAAGCTCTCTACCACTGGCCCGATTCCTGCGGCAAGTCAATCTTTGAAATGCTCTCGCTCAGCGACCTGACGGTAGATGACGAGCTGAGGGCGCTGGGACTGTCTTGCTACATCTGCTTTGGAATTCGAACCATCCCCCGAGCCGCCTTCTTTGAGCGGGTGGAAGCCAAGACCGGCATCGAACTGGAGCATATCATCTGCACATTTCAAGACTCGATATTGAACGAGCTTGCTATCCCATCCAATGTAGTCAAGACGCAAGCGCTCAAGGAGAACCTGACAGTATCTGTGATATGCCTGGCCCTTAGACACCCGCTCCTCTTGCTCGGCTGCGACGGCACATCCAAGACGCTCTCCTTGAACATGGCGATCTCTCAGATGCAGGGCAAGTTCTCCAAGTCGACTTTCCTTCAGGGGATATCGAGGATGCAGAGTTTCAACATTCAGCTATCGGAGGCGACCAGCGCCTCTCACATAGCCAAGATCAAGAGCACGGTCCTCGACTGGGAGAAGAAGTCCAAGTTGTCAGTGCCCTGCATCTTCATGGAGGAGCTGAGCATGGCGAAGATGGGATCCAGCGGGCCCCTCCGGGCGCTGCACGACGTGCTTGACGCGCATCAAGACACGGCAGGAGCTCAGGCAAGACATGAGATAGGGTCTGGGTCGAACCCCTTTGCCTTCGTTGCCACGAGCAACTACAAACCTGGCACCAACCAGATCCCCATCGGTCGAGCTCTTGCGAACAGGATGATCGTCTTGGCTCACCCTGACCCATCACTAGAGGACCTGAAGTCCCTGGCTGTCCGGGTGGGGATGAACGAGTCCAGCTCCAGCTCCAGCTCCAGCTCCAGCTCTGGGGATCTCAACTCCAACGACGACGAGAGAGTGAAAGAGATCATCGAAAACGCCATCGACCGTCTCTCTGTGCTGGTTCCGCACTCTGTTTCTGTTCGCTCCCTCCTCAGCTTCGCGCGATGTTTGGGGATGCAGCTCTCCAGGGGCAACGACGAGCTCGAGTCCTGCTTGCTCGCGGCCACTTGCCACCTGCAGAAGATCAACCCAGAGGAGACGAGCAAGGTCCTGCGAGCGGTCATGGGGAATGAGCGATACGAGCTTCCTAGCCTTGCCTCCGTGTTGGAGAGTTTGGCAGGCCTCAACGGCACGAAACGGCCGATCATGTTCCTTTATCAGTCAGTGGGTGACATCTACACAATCATTCGGCACGTGAGGCAGGCGATACAGAAGCAGATGAAACGATCGCAAGAGGACAGGACCCAGAAGGTGGTTGGTATATGCCCATGTAGCTCAAACAAGAGCACTGAAGGGATGCCATCGTCGGAGAAAGACTCACTGCTGCCAGAGAGACTGTACGCTCTGCTCAATCTCAAGTCGAGCGTTGAAGCTGGTGGGACCACGTTCTTGCTGAACCCGGAGCCGATGCTGCAAGGCATGCACGCGCTGCTGAATGACTTTGAGCAGAGCCATTCGACCCTGCAGATCAACGAGTGCAACGAGAACGTGTCCATCAACCCGACCTCTCACATCATCCTCCTCGTCCACTGGGAGTCTTCGCTCAGTTTCCACAGCGCCCTCCTGTCTCGCACTGCGATCGTGAACCTCGAGATGTTCGGAAGGTCGGGGAGGCGCGTGTGGGACAGCCCCTACTCGAGGATCCTGGACTTGTACGCAAAGCAACGAGGGCTCATGGATGCAGGACAAATGGACAAAGAAATCGAACTGCTGGAGGAGTTAGAGACGCCTTTGGATAGCTTCATTCGCTCCATCGTGACTGGTGAGGGTCAGTACTATCAGCAAACTAGAGCAAAGCTCACGTTTATCTTCGTTGACAACATCTTGCCTTGTTTCGTCTGTCGCAACAGTAACATCCTAGCTGTGGACGGGGCTCGACACGACACCCAGTCCTCACTGCTGGAGGCCATACAGAACGGCGTCAAGTCCTTGGCAAACGACCTAACAGAGCATGTGTGCCTGATGATTGATCTCTCGTCCTCGGACTCTAAGAACGCCATCGAAGTTCTTGCGCTCTTGGGTTTCTCAGGTTTCACATTTCGCGTGTCTGCCAAGCCCTCGCTCTCGCAGCAGTTCATGAAACTCAGCGCGAAAGAGAGCAAGAGAGTCGTCGTCATCCTCAACTCCTGCCTCGCGCGGTCCTTCTCTTGCGGAAGATGCTCAGCATGGAAGGAGCCCAACGCGCCGATGCTGGAGCACATCATGAAGCACTACTTCATTCGAAACATCTCCATCCCATACCCTGACTGGCCATCCATCTCCGACATTGCAAAAGATCCTTCTACCTTGTTTCTGAAGTTTGTCGCAACGGTGCATGACAGGATAACAGAGACGCATGCGATGCCCAAGACTCCCAACAAGGCAGAGTTGCTCCTTGAACTGTGTAAGACCCTCGCAACGAGCTTGGTAGGGGAGGACGACCTGAAGAACCTCCTCTTTTGTCCTTACCAAGACCTCGTGAACCTCACTGAGCTTCGTCCTCTCCAAGAGATCCAAGAGAGTCGCCTTCAGACCTTCAGCAAGGTAGTGCAGGAAGTCAGGAGGACGAGAAGCGCTCTGTCGCTCAGGTCAAGTCTAGTCGAGCGATGCTTGCAGCTTAGCGAGGTCGTGGCAGCCAAGATAGTCTCCAAGGTGTCAAAGGCCTGCCTGTTCCCTGACAAACAGAGGTTGTCGTATATCCGCGCCGTCTTGTCTTCTCAAGTGTTCCCTTGGCAACGAGATCTGATCCGCGCCAGCATGGGAGGAAGAGCGATGCTGTCTGTCGCAAGCCCCTTCCTTGTGCCGACCTCTCCGTCCGTTCAGTTCCTCCCCTTCGTCGCCGACATGCTCGAAGTTGTGCTGAGAGGAGAAGTAGGATACATGGAAGGCCACCTGGACGTTGAGACGATCCGGGGGCGTATACAGCTGTCCTTCCCTTCGCTGCTGGGGTTGGAGCTGGGCGAGATCTTCCCTGACTTCATCCGAGAGGTTATCTTGTACGTGGCGAGGAAGCACAACCTCGGCAGCAAGGGATGGCGGGACTCCTTGTCTTGTCAGTGGCTGGAAGCTGCATCCCAAGGGGATCTAGCTCGGGCCATGTGGGTTTTGATCAATTTCGAGTCATGGATAGCAGCAGGAACACTCTTCTGCTGCCCCCCCGACCCGCACAGCAACTCGGGCAGGCGGCAAGAGGACGGTAAGGAGGACCGTTACTTGCTCGTTGAAAGTCTTGTGCGGAAGATTGTTGAAATGATGAGACAGTCAAATCAGCAGCGAGATGGGAACATGATCAGGTTTCACGCCATCTTGCCTCGACTCATCAAGTTTGCGATCGAGAACTTGCTGAGCAGTAGCCGAAAGTGTCACAGTGACGCAAACTTGTCCTCCTTGTATCAAGTGACTCTTCTCTGGCAATTAAAACAGATGAGCGACGGCTCTACTGTCAAAGCTGCGTTCCATCAATCGTGCGAGGTGATCTTTGACAAGAAACTTGACAACTACCTCAACGGCTTTGAGACCAACACACTGCAACTGCTGTCGAGCGTCTTTCTCAGGTGTCACGAGATTAAAGATCTGCCGGATAAATCAATCGCTCGGGTTGTCAACAAGCTGGGAGTAGAGCACGGAGGCCCGTCGTTCCTGGCGTCATGTGCTAGGATCAAGAACTCCGACATCCAGGTCTTTCTCAGCTACCTGGACTTGAGCTTTCAGAGGTCCAAGGTACATCAGGTCCATGAAGTTGCTCGCCGAGAGGAGACGAGGGTGGTTGCGAGAGGACTCCGCTACTTCTTCCAAGCGACAGGTTGGAGTGTCGACGCTCTGGTCTACTTCATAATTGAGAACCGACATGCTGCCGCTTCTCCCTGGGCTGCCATGTACCTTGCGCTGAGCTCCATCCTCATACCCAGTCTCGTCCAGGACGAGAGTTTCTTGTCGCAGATCAAGGGAGAGCAGGCGACCGCGGCCGTCCAATGGAAGCAGCTGTTTGCCCCGAGCTACAGCCTCCCGGTCAAGAACTTTCTCATCCGCTGCCTCGTCTCAAGGTTTGACGAGCGTGGGATGTATCGGCTCAAGGACTTGCCGTCTGCCGTGGGCGAATGGGCCCGGCCGTACGTGAAGAAGTTCCTGTCTGAAAGCTTCCAGGAGCTCAGCGTGCTGCCCGACTTCATGGAGCATCTGGAGCACGCGGAGACAGACTCCCCCTGGCTCTATGCCCTGACTAGGAGCTGCTGCTCTCTTAGGAGGACCCCAGCAGAAAGCCTGACGGGAGAGCAGACCTCCATGCTCGACGCCATGAGGAGCTCTCTCGAGGCGGACATGGACTTCTGCTCCGCTGCTGCCGCGCTGTGGTGCGCGATCCTGGTGATCGTCCATGACGGCACAGTGCTGACGAGCGCAAGCTTCACGCAGGAGCAGAACCTGAGCAGCCTGTGCCTCCCTGCTGCTCCTGACGGCAACCTGGAGACCATCCAGAAGTACAAGGAGATGATAGGCGTCACCTCCATCAACCGCTGCCCCTGCGGTTACGTCTACGGCATCGGAAACTGCGGCAGGCCCGACCACCAGGGACGCTGCCCGGAGTGCGGGCAGGCGCTGGGAGGAAACAATCACCAGTGGGCGAACAACGTCAGCCACACGCTCACCGGCATCGCTGACGATACAGTGCGAGGGGTTGAGACGTCCTGGTGCTTCGCTGGCCCGAGCTACACTGAGCGGGGCCTCCATCCGATGGAGTACAGGCTGCTGTCTGTGTTGCTGCTGATCCCTCTTGCTGTGTGGAGTCCAAGGAGGGGGGAGAGGAGGGAGCAGCTGGCCAAGCACTGGGCAGAGCTCAGGGCTGCCTGCGGGCTGAGCAGCGACACGGAGACGCAACTGTTTGTCATCGGGGTGATGAAACGAGCAACGATGATGAACCGCTCCGACTTCGCGTTCACCGGGCGGAGCTTCCACGACAAGAACGACCGCCAGGCGCACGAGAAAGCCTTTAGCGAAACATTCCAACGCGTGATGGGCGGGGAGACATGTCAGGTGGTGATAGCAGAGGCTTCAAGACTCATCCAGAGCAAAGTTGAGGAGCAGTCTCCCTTCATAGAGCTGCGCGACTCCCGCATCCTTGCCATGGACCAGGAGCAGGCCAGCCGATGCTTCGCTCCTCAGGTGCTGCAAGTCGTGACGACTCGGTGGGAGGAGGAAGGAGACGAGAGGCTGATGAGCATCCGGCTGGCGGTGACGCGAGAGCCAGACAGCTTCCCGGTGCTCGCGCGATGTCTCTTTGACCGCAACTCCAGCGACGTATCGGAGGAGCACGCTCAACGGCTCGACCTCGACCTCAACCGCAAACTCTCTTGCTTCCCCAGCCTCGCCAAAGGCCTCTGGAGGGTCGGGGCAGCCGCTGCAGGCATGCAGGACCCGCCTCTCGCCAAGAATGCTCTCGAGTTCATTGAGTCTTGGATAGGAGACGCGGATGAGCTCCAACAGTTCAAGCTCAGCTGGGAGGTCTGCCGGTTCGGGCATCGCATCGGATGTCAGATCGTGTCCGACGTGGGCGACCTCTCTGCCCTACAAGTGCGAGACCTGCTGTGGGTGGCGGATAGTCCAGCTGAGGTCGGGCTGTCGCGGACTGAGCTGCTGCTGCAAACTCTCACCGACGCGCACAACCAGCAAGTCGAGCTGCTGTCACGAGGCGACTCGAGTGAGCCCGGGGAGGGTCGAGGCTTCGACGTCTCCCTGTCGACCTGGGAGACGGTCGAGCGTCTCCCCACGTTCCTCATCCCCTGGGACGAGGCAAGGTCCGTGATCGAGAAGTTCTGCAGAGAATGTCCCAACGCGCACGTGGATGCGTCATCCCTTGAGTCGATCGCCCACCAGTGGATCTCGCAGCGAGTCTCCTTCCTCCGCCTCCTCCTCAATGGATGGCCCAGGTTGCAGGTGCTGGACGAGAGCAGCGGGCAAGTGGCGGTAAGCTCGCAGGTTCGGTTCCTACCTGGGGAGGTGCATCGGCACATCCAGGGGTGGATGAAGGAGTATGGCCTCAGGAGAGATGTCGTCGTCGCCAGCGTCCGCCTCCTTGACCGCATGGCCCAGCTCTTCGGGAGCTCCTCCGTCTCGGGGGAGGCGCCGCTGGTCCGGGACAGCCTAAAGAGCATGAAGCTCGAGAGCGATGTCCCTGCGCTGCTTGGGAGCATCCTGGAGGCAGGAGCCGGGCTGAAGCTGAAGTTCAAGCACTTGAAGGCGCTGCAGGAGTGCCTACTGGATCAGCTGGACTACCGGCAGGAGGAAGCTCTTGCGGGGGAGTACAGGCACAAGTACGAGGGAGAGGAGCTGAGGGAGGTGGTGAAGGGGCTGGAGGCTGACGTCATCAAGTACGCGTTCGACAAGTCGGTTGCACTGTGTGAGATGGTGAGCCGGAACCTCTACAGCCACACGGACCCCATCCAACTCTACCTCCCTTACGCCCAGCTGCCCTATGAGGAGGACGACAGCGTCGAGCTGGAGACAGGTTTCTCCTTCATCTTCTCCCAGCCCGTTCAGCTCAGGCACCTGTACGGCCTCACCTGCGCCCTCCGCGAGGCTTACAATGAACTTCGTTGAAGGGGGGAGAGAGGAAGAGGTTGGAGGAAGGAGTGAGGAGAAAGGAGGAGGCCGGCTAGAAAGTATGTTAGTTCAGTATCATCCTTTCACTCCTGCCTTCAACGTTTGCCGAGAAGTAAACATGGTCGTTGGGCCCCACTCCCTGCTCTATCTTCCTTCAACCCGTTCCATCCACCTCCCCCCCCCCCCCCCCCTGTGCTCCCTTCCTGCCGACCTACAAGTCCCAGTCTCACTCTTCCCACCATGCAGCAGGTCCGCTCGGCTGGTTGGACGTGCAGGTTGTGTCTTTACTCGCGACATCTCATACATGGGGAAGAGCAACTTAAATTAACATTGAAAACTTCCAGGAGGCAGAAGATCTCAGGAGAGCAGAGGGGAAGAAAAAATATCAAACTCAACAACTAGACAACAACGAGGATGTCTTGACAGGCCATCTGACGTGCAACCGTCAAGAACCGCAAGCAAGCAACTTATCTCACCTTCACTTCTTGTTCTTGAGCAGCACCGAGTCCGAGTTGTTCTTGAGCAGCATCGAGTCCTGCTTCACCTCTCGGAACCTTAGCTTCGCCTCTGTGGCCTGATCCACTGAGATCAGCGCCGTCATGCTCCCCTTGCTTCTGTCGCGCTTCAGCACAGCCTTGACGACATGCATCTTCCTCTTTTCCCTGAACTTGTTGAACTGCTCGTCTGCATCGTCTTGATCCACAGGGCTCGGCTCGCTCGTTGGCTGCGTCGACGGCGTTGAAGGGTTGGAAGCCGTCGAGGCCTTGGTACTTGCCGGCTCGACGGCAGGTGAGGGAGGGACATTGTTGTTCACTCCTCTCCTGTTGATGAAAGGATGGCGGCGGAGAGTCCGCGCATACGGACGCTCCTTGGGATCCCTGATGAAGCACCTGGACACGAAGTCCCTGGCAGATTCTGAGAGCTCAGCGGGGATCGGAGGAGGCTCGCTAGATGCTGTGATGTGGAACAGAGCTGCGATGTGGTTGCTGAACTCGCTGAACGGAGGGTTCCCCGTCGCCATCTGCAGGACGGTACAGCCAACGCTCCATATGTCTGACTTTTTGGAGTATCTCTGCTCCATGATCACCTCAGGGGACATGAAGACAGGAGTTCCCTTGAAGGAGAGGTTGGCGGCGGAGTCAGCGCTCTGCAGATACCTTGAGGCACCGAAGTCCGCTAGCTTGCAAACCCCGCGGTTGTCCACAAGGATGTTCTGCCCCTTGATGTCTCTATGGATGATCCCTTTGTCATGGAGGTACGTCAGCCCCTCCAGCACCTCTCTGGTGTACTTGCGGATGACTGATTCATCCAGCTTTCCGAAACGGCTGACAAGCTCGGCAACCGAGCCTCCTGGCATGTGCTCGAGGAAGATGGAGAGCTCGTTGGTGATGTTGTTTCTCTCAGTCCCCAGGTATTTCACAATGTTAGGGTGGTTGAGGGTACCCAGCAGGGCGATCTCAGCTTCTAGCTGGAGAACGTCCTCGGCATCCTGCTTGTCTTTCTGCAGAAACATAACCTGCTTGACCACAAAGATTTCTCCCGAGTCCAGGTTCATCCCCAGGTACACCTTCCCGAAGGATCCGGATCCTATCAGGTTTCCTCTCTGCCATCTCTTGATGTCACCAAGAATACGGATGTCACTGTCGGTATTGTCCATCTTCATGATGTCCGCCAACGACATCTCGTTCTCCTCCTGCTCAACATCTGGGTTCTCTTCCAGCACATCCGGCGCTTCGCTGGTCTCGAACACGATCTCATGAGATGCAGCTGATGCAAGGATGTTGGAAGTGAAGGCGGCAACTCCAGGCGACTCCGGAGTCTTTGGGGCAGGAGTAGCCGCGATGGGAGACGTCAAGTTCAAGCCCGACAGACTGACTTCGGGCTGAAGAGCCGGAGGTTTCGACTTCCTCGCCTTGTCTGTGGATCCACCATGATTGGATTCTGTGGATGGAACCCTCGAGACCTGTGGCGATCCATCCTTGCGGTTAGGAGAGCTCGCATGGTTTGCACCTTGATGATTGTGATGGTGATGGTGGTTGCTGTGGGTCTGAGGGTTGTGACTTGTCCCTTGCTGCCGCTTGACCTGCTGCTGTGCCACGTCATGATGGCGGGAGTGGTTTTGACCTGCTCTCCCAGGCGCATCATAATGGCTGCCATCAACTGAGGTCTTGCGACCACTGCGGCTAAGAATTCCTCCCATGGTAGGGGATAAACGAGGCTACAGAGGGGGGGGAGAGTTTTCACTTGTGGCAGACGAGGAGGGTTCACAAGAGTTCCCCTCCATGAGGTCCGGCACGTGCGAGCATACTCTCATACCATCAGAGAAGTCTCGGGGTCTTCTCTCATCTCAAGCCCTCCCGCACTCCCACCAACACCCGTGGCAACATCCACCAGGCCTTCGCTAGAAATCCCACTAGTCTGCGATGCCACCTTCGCCTCGGGAACAATTCTGGTCGTGTTCTGCCGTACGAAATGTCATGCTGTTTGAAAAATGCCTACCAAACTCTATATACAAGAACGGTGCTTGCCGCCTACCGTTCGGACCTCTCACCCTCTGAATAATGCAGTAGTCGCTCGCTCTTGCTGCCTCCACCTTGCCTCGTTCTGATCCTCGTGACTGGTATATTATTCTCACATTATCTCACACCACTTCCTCTTCCATCTTGAAGAAGGTTTGTTCAGCCTTCTAAAATCCACTACCCAGCTCTGTTCTACGCCGTGTTAAAATGAAAAACATCTTCAACTATTTTACTAGCTTAGCAGGTCCTTTGCTAATCTTCTCTCAGGCACATTCTGTTTCCTGACTCCAATCTTCATGCATCATCCTTCCCCTTCCTCTGCTACCTCTCGTTCTCTTCGCTTACTCCCTCCTTCCTCTCCTCTCTCCCATTCGATGCTTCTGACATCCCAGCATACCTTTCCAGCCCCCCCCACCCCCCGTTTCCAGTTATTAGAGACCTATATCCAACCCTACATTTCAAAGACTACCCCTTGTTAGTCGATTCTGTGCACACCCTACCCCCTACCTAATTTCGACATCCTGCTATCAAGCTCTCACGATCTTTCTATTCATGTATTAGTCCTAAAGACTATACCTATTACCATGACTGTCTGGAGCCCAACATACCAACACCAGTTGTGCACCCACCCCTGGTCGAAAGACATGGGCCCTAGTTAAAGGAAGGTCCCCTCCCTAAAAGATAAACCGGAGGGCTCTCACCCCCACCCCCCCCCCCCCTCCCAGCCATGCAGACATCTGGGTGCCCCGTCGTGTACCCAGGAACAATAAGGGAAAACCACCCCTAATTTGTGCTCTGTTAGAGCAAAACTACCACCCCCTCCCACCTCTCAGCTCCGTGCGCAAAAAGTAAGGAACCCTACCCCTACCCCTACCCCTACCCCTACCCCTACACATACTTTCATGGTGGAATGAGAGTACGGGGGTGGGTCGAGTGGTTATCTCACAGTTAAGGGGGTTGTAGAGTCATCAAAAATCTTCGAAAAGTACTGGGAAAGTCACCGGTAGGGTCCTCTCTTTACCACCCCTACCTTACTCACGTCCCCGCCTTTCAAAAAATCGTTTTACACACCCCACCTAAGATCACCACCCCAGATACCTCTGAATGACATAGGGGCCTAGCCAAGCGAGGGGGGTAGTCCCTTCCGTTGTCGGTTGAGGAATATCGATAACGGTCATAGTAACGTTCGCAACTCTCACTGCAATTGTGAAAGCCTCTTTACCCGTACTTTATACCTTGCAAATCACCGGTGCCAAGAAAAAAAAATCAGTACCCTAGATTTAAGGGCTTAAGACCCCCCCCTTTTCCATCGATCTTGGGGTCGCCCACACAGTCCAGTACCCCACCCTGTCCCGAGGTCAAATCCTACCAAAGTTTCTCCGGACCACCCCCTGGGTTGCAGACTATCATCACCCCCTCGAGAGCATAACGAACGAAGGGTACATTGCTTTTCATCCCTGAAGGGGCAGTCAGCCCCTTATCTTTCACATATTGTTTGAAATATTACTCTAATTTTTGAAGTTTGAGGAGTAATTTCTTCAAATAACATGTTGTAGTTGAGTAAAATGTTGTTGCGCAAATACCTCCAAATTGCAGCAACAAGTCGGAGGGTGGAGAAGGTGTCAAGGAGACACTCCAATAAAGGGTGGGTTATACCAAAATAATGATTTAGTTTCAATATTTGTGAGAAATAAAGGCACTCAAAGAACAAATTTTCAAATAATTTCATGAAATAGAGGATTCTCTCTTTTAGCAGAAAACCTCTGGGGGTAGGTAGTGATGGTTTGAGGTCTGGGGAGGGTACAGGCGGGGGAGAGGAGAGGCTTGCACAAAGTATGGCAAGGCTGAAGGCGGGAAGTAGGCTGAGAGGAGAGTTCCAGAATTCAAGTATGAAGATTAGTATGAAAATCCAAGGGAAATGGCCGATGCTTCATCCAGTAGGGTGGTTGCGTAGATCGAGGTTGAAGGAAACAGAGCTTTTTGACATTGCTCGGCTTGCTAGTTGGAGCTTGAGTGTGATTTTTGGACTACTGTGTCCAGAGCAAACAGGCATAAGATGTCAGGATCAAATAACACATAATGGCAAAGGAAATTTGTTTATGGAGAACACTCCGCAAGAAATAGAAATAAGAATCGATGAAATGTCGGCGATGGATGATCTGTTGTTATCGCTTCAGTCATTTGCGTTGCATAGTTCTAGAGCGCAGACTAGCCCCCCGTCCTCCCCCACTGGAGGGGGCACAATTCCCTCAGCAATATACAGCGTGCAACTATCGCTTGTTCTGATGTCAGCAAAGTTGGTGAGGAGCAGTCCATGCAGTTCAGATCGTAGTGGAAGGAAGGACCAAGCATTTGAATCATTGCGATAGTTCCTGTAGGGTCTGAATACGGATCTTTCAAGTAACATGTTTACCATCACTGTTTTTGATAGAGATGATGTTGAGAGAAGCAGATATCATTTCATTTGAGCTTGAAAATCGAATATGCCGTGCTCTAGACGTCGTTTTGACGCTGTTTGATTGTAGATGGTGAAGGCGCACAAGTCAAAGTTCAGGGAAGAGTTCCCGCTTGGTAAGTACTTTAAAACACTTGTCGCTGCAATCTCTTACTGTTATCTACGATCAGAGAGGAGGAAGGCTGAAGCGTCGCGCATGCGAGAGAAGTACCCCGACAGGATTCCGGTGATTGTCGAGAAGGCTGCCGGCGGGGACCTTCCGGACATCGACAAGAAGAAATACCTGGTGCCTACCGATCTCACTGTTGGTCAATTCGTGCATGTCATCAGAAAGCGCATCAAGCTTGCTCCTGAAAAGGCTATCTTCATCTTTGTAAACAATGTCTTGCCACCTACTGCGGCATTGATGTCAACTATTTACGAAGAACAGAAGGATGAAGACGGTAAGTTCAAGCCGTTGATTCATCTGAATTTCGACTGATGAGTTTTACAGGATTTTTGTATATTACCTACAATGGCGAAAGTGTGTTTGGAGCTTAAGCAGGTCTTTCAAAACTGTCCACTCGAAGCAAACAAGCTTGAAATTGTAGTATGCATGGATTGTACCAATCAAAATTAAGAAAAGATAGGAAAAAACAGAGATATTAGGCAGAGGGAGATCTCTTCGAAGCAATGAATAAACGAGATAAGACGTGATAGGACATGGCGGTCTGCAAGGATTGCTGAAAACTTCAGACAGAACTGCTTCTGTCCGATTGAAGCTCTTCTTGAAAATGAGGCTTGAGAAGCTCCCAACGAGGCCTGCATGGTGGTAGTCAGCGTCAAAACTTCCAACAACCTGTCATACCCTGGTAACTTTGTCATGCCGAGGAAGTATGTTCCCTCTGGAATGCCCTTGAGTGGATTGTGGTCTAGATCCAACACCTGCATGCTGCTCCGTTAGGGAAGCGCCTCTTGATAGAAGATTCCTCACGATGAGGTTGTCAAGTTTGCTGATCTCAGGTGGCACATAAGTTATCTTGTTGTGGTTCAGGTACCTGCTGCAGGGGTTAGCAAAGACGCTCGATCGCATAGCTCAAGGACAGTCTCTGGAGTGTTGGCATTTTGGTGACGTCCTCCGGGAACTTGGTGATGTCATTGTCTCCCAGCCACAGGATCTGTAGCTGTTTGCAAAGCCCTTCCGACAAGTTCCTGGACGAGTTTTGATCCAGCAAACCATTCTCAATGTGAGTAGCTTACCTGCACAACAACGAGCATCCAGGATCTCCGATGCGATTTCGAAAAAGATTCAATTCCCTCATCTTCGGGAGGTTGGAGAGGGCCTTGGAGATGTGCTTTATCCCCTGATACCCGATCCCATTCTTCCAAAGGTACAGCTCTCGTAGTGTGTCTCTGCATTTACCCTTGGCCAAACCTTCGTTGAGCACGAGACATCCAGAATCTTGCAAGTTGAGCTGTATCATCCGTCATGACGCAATCATATATAGGAGCGTAATGAACAGAGACAGTGTAAGTAATACTCAGGCAGGTTCAACTGAAACTACTAAAATGTAGTGACAGCGACAGCAGCAGTGACATTTAGAGTGACAGAATGGGACACACACATACATAGGAAGCATCGAAGACGGACAGACGGAGGTTCTGCAGTCCGTGTATGGCCTCCTCCAGCGTCTTTGGCCGTCTTTCCGCCATGTTCTCGCGTCAACGGAACGGAAGCAAGGCACCCTTCAGCTGCCCTGGAAGTCTAGAAATCAAAGGGTAATTAGCTTTGTATAGGACCACCTAACTTACTAACTTCGGCTGAGGCTGACCCGGTAAGTTACGGAACAGTTCGGAACCGATCGGACCGACACTGCCGCGACCGTTCAACAGTGAACCGGGGCCAGCCTGGCACTGAGGGCCGGCGCCGGGCGCGGCCCGCCGGGCCCAGGACGCCCCGGGCCCGCGGCCGGCCAGTGGCAACTTGGCAAGCGAGTCACCGACTGACTCGGCCGGCATGTGCGCGCGGCGGCGCAGGCGCTGCTGGACTCCCATCAAGCCTTGAAGTTCGGTGGCGCCCCCGTGCCCGGGCCGCCGAACTTGCCATGATGGGAGTCCCGGAGTCCATGCTGGCCCGGCCCGGCGGGCCGGGGCGCCACCGTGACGGTGCCCGGGCCGCCAGACTCTGGCAAGTTAACTCAGTTAGCTGACAGTGCCAGTTTGTTGGACTCGTACTGAGTACTATGATAAGGCGGGCTGGACGGGAGTCCTGAGGCTCCGGGTGAGTGACTCGTGATGGATCGCCGCGGGCCACTTGAAACGGACTCCCGAAGTTTGGCCGTAACTGGTGTCAGTTGCCGTTTACGGGCTGAAGACCGGCGAGTTTAATGCACAAACGGCCAACTTTCTGGATGCCGCAAGTTGGGTTTCACCTCCTAGCATACAGTCTATCTCTCATGTGCTCCTCAATTCTGGTTTCATGTGCCGCTGACTCAAAGGCTCGGTCGGTCTTGCGCCTTGAGCAAAACTTGACTGTCTTGTCACGTCACGTGCCGCTGTGCAATCAAGCGGTGGCATGCTCGATATGACGGTGATGTCTGCCATTACTTTGGCATGATCCAGCGCTGCCGTTTCCTTATTCGCCCGGTACTGCGGCCTGCTGCCCCGCCGCTCAGTGGCGCACACGGTGACGGCGGCGCCGGGCGGCGGCCCGGGGCCGGCTGAACCCGGACGGTCGGCCCGGCCCGCGGCCCCGGTTTCCCGGGCCCGGCCCGCCGAAGGATGTCGAGGTGAAGATGCCGCAATGGGCGGAAAGAGGCATAGGGACGTCGCTTGCCGCGTAGCATGCTCTGATCTCTTCCTCCCCTCCCCTCCTCACTGTGCGTCTCCTCGGCATCTCTGAGCTCTTCCTCATTGCTTCTGCTCACATAGGGAGTCGAGGCGTCAAGCTTGACTGGACACCCATCATAACTTTTCTTCTCCTGCGCCGCCCCGCCCTCCAAACCCTTCTTCTCCCCCGATGTGAACTGTGAGCGAGTGATACAGATTAAGGATTCCAAGTCACTCACTGCTCCCTAACACGATGTCGGATATGTCGATTCCTCCCCCCCCTCCTGGGATCCGCCCTACGACCCCTATTCCCGTCTCCCACCAGAAGCTTCTGCTCCGTGCTCGCACCACCAATTCGCGGTCATTCAATCTCGACAGCATGCCGGAATCGCCTCCAGAAGAGAGCAGGAGCTACAGCAACCACAGCTTCGCCTCCTTCATGACTTCACTGAGCAGCTTTGAAAGCGCCTGTACTTGGCAGAATGCAAAGCTCAAACTCGCCGACGAGCCAGGCTTGGTTGCGGTCAGCCAGTCACCTGACGGCAAGAGGCTGGCGGCAGGAGGAGGCAACGTGCTGTCGATCCTGGATATGAGTGAGCTCACCCGCCGTGGAGGAAACATGAAGGTCATTCAGAACATCCTTGCCAAGAGCAGGATGGAGACTCAAAGGTCAGCTCGTCACAAGTCTGCTGGTAACGTCCAGGACTTGCGCTGGCATCCTGCATCGCAACAGTTTATCGCGTCCGCTGCATCCAACGGCTCGATCCTCCTCTGGGACATAACCACCAATGGCAACGTGGTGTGGGAAGGGAAAGACCACACCAGGACTGTGTGGAGGCTTGCGTGGTGCCAACCGAGCGGTAATGAGTACCTGCTATGCAGCGGCTCTCTCGATGGGACGATCAGATTGTGGGACCGTCGGGGCAGCTGCCACAGCTGCATCTCCATCAGCAAGCACAACCAGCAGGAGGCCGTGAGGGACCTCAGAGTTTGCGGGGCCGACCCTTGGAAGCTAGCAGCTGGGCTGGAATGTGGAAACGAGGGAGCGATCGTCGTTTGGGACCTGCGTGCTCCCCAGCAGAAGCCTCTTTTCCGCGTGAAGGAAGAGACGGCAGTTCATGCGGTTGACTGGCACCCCGAGCACTCGTCGATCCTTGCGACTGGGCGAGCATCGAGAGCGCATGCTGCCGGTTGCCTGAAAGTCTGGGACATGAAGGAGGCAGGAGATGGGACGGAGGCGCTTCCTATTGCCAAGATCATCACCCCAGACGGCGTGTCCAACATCATGTGGAGGCCAACCTACCGCACTCACGTCGCCACCACCTACATGAGCAGGCTCGCTAACGTACACGTGTGGGACCTGCCGAGTTTCTGGACGCCTCTAGCGAGCCTGTGCGGTCATACGAAGCCCGTCACAGACATGGTGTGGCAAGATGCGCATGTGTTCTCGCAGCCAAACCAGCTGTCGGACGACTGCTGCTGGATATTCTCCTGCTCCAAGGACGGCACAGTACAGCGCCAGCACCTGCAGAACGGCTACCTTCCCTTCCGCCATATGCGCAACTCCACCTTCTCTGCCGACTGCTACGGCGATGTCTACAGCTCTTACTCCAAGGTCAATCGTGACACTTCTCAGCTCACCGAGAAGACGCCCAACGCCCGTCAGATGGCGAAGTCCGGCAGCTTCCTCCATGTCTTCCCCTCCCTGCCAAAGGGCAAGCCAGCAAGGAAAGCCGGAGGCCCCCTCAGTCGGGCCAGCAGCGGGGGCTCCATAGCAGGAGCGGGAGCAGGAGCAGGAGACAGCGAGGTGGTAGTGATGAGGAAACTAGCATCCCGGTACGCTGTCGGGGGAGGAACATGGAAAGAGCTGTGCCGCACGAACAACCGAGCATGCCTGGATCTCGGGCTGACACACACGGCAGCAAGCTGGAGCTTCTTGTCGAAACTGTCTGAAGGGTCGGAGGTCCAGGGAGAGAGACATGGAGGGGGGTCAAGCTCGAGGCCAGAGATCAACTGCCCGCCTTCTATCTCCTTCTCCTCCACCCCAGACCTTGTTGATCCCCTCTTGGGCGACATGATGCGGAATGCGTGCCTGTGCGGCGACGTTGTCACGTGCGCTACGATGGCTCTCGTGCTCGGCAGGTGAACATCCTGTGGGGTTGAAAGGAGTGGAGGGGCCAGGGGAGACACTTGACGGGAGGAAGGAGGTAGAGAAGAGGTGATCGAGGAGACTTGAGCATGATAGGGGAGGGAGGAGCGTGTATGTGTCTTGTGCAAAGCATGGTATTGGCATAGAGCTGAGCAGAGACGAGTCAAAGAGGGCAGATGTGATTCCCTAGAAGGGGAGCCATAGGAGCGGGAGTTTGGGGTGGGTGGGGCAATGAAATGTTTCCGCAGGTCCAGTCTGGAGAGGATAGGAGTAACGAAGCTCGAGTTCGTCTCATGGCTGAACGGCTACCTCGACTTGCTCTTCAAGCTTCGACTCTACAGTATCGCCGCTGTGGTTATGAAGAGCTGCGGAGGAAGCGGCGAGGGACTTGACGAGTCGGACGCCATCGTGCAGATTGCACAGAGGAACATGCGCAACACCAGCGTGCGGGTCAAATTCGGCAGCTGGAGGACCAAGAAGGATGCCAAGAAGACTGCTGCCGCTCAGCTGAGGGATGATCAGGGAGTGAGCAGGGAAGGAGCGCTGGTTCCCCCGGGGTAAGGAAAAACTCACCCTCCTCCTCCTCACTTGCTGTAACGCTCGTGCACACTGCAGCAGCCCCAAGAGCCCTAGCAGGATGCTCCCTCCTCTCCCCTCCAACGACTCCTTCCGCCTAGCCGCTGCGAGGGGACGGCATACACCGCTCCCTCAGCGAGCTGCGACTCTCCGAGCAGGCAGCGGGAGTCGCGAGGGCGCCGATTTCTCAAGCTCGGGGGACAACCTTGCGGGAGAGGACAGACCCTGGTTCGCCTGCTCCGGCTGCGATGTACGATGAAAGACTCGTTGACACTGTTCTTTCTCTGCACGCTTCCCCTCCTCGTCCCATTCCGAGGGCTCCTGCTCCTGCTCCTGCTCCTGCTCCTGCTCCTGCTCCTGCTCCTGCTCCTGCTCCTGCACCTGCTCCTGCTCCTGCTCCTGCTCCATCTCCTGCTCCTGCTCCTGCTCCTGCCCCTTCTCTTGGTCCTGCTCCATCTCCTGCCCCTGCTTCTACCCCTAACCTACTACTCCACCTATCTCAACAGTCATCTTCAGCGTGTCCCTTTCATCTACCTTCCTATCTCATCGTTGCTGCTGTCTCACTGTCCTCAGGTCAAAGTCAAGGGCGACACTCCCAACTGCAGCAACTGCGGGCACTCCGCAATCCGATGTGCAATCTGCAGGGTGAGACGACGAACGAACGAGTTCCTGTCCTCTTCCACCCTCCTTCTCTCTCCACCTGCTAGCCTCTCCTCTTCCCTTCTTTCCTCAGCCCTCTCCTCCTCCGTTTCCCTTGTGTTCTCCTCCTTCTCTGTCCCCACTCCCTCCTTCCCCCGATCTACTGTGTTTCCTTCTGGATGCCTCTTGCCTCCTCCCTCTACCCTACCTACCCTCTCCATCTTCTCTCCTTCCTATCTCCCTGACCGCTGCTGTCTCGTCCAGTTGTCTGTTCATGGCGCCTTCATGTGGTGCCAGGGCTGCGGGCATGGCGGTCACATGCAACACATGTACAAGGTGTGAGAGTACCCTGCTGCTGCTGCTGCTGCCCTTGCACCTTCTTGTCTAATGCCCCTGCTTCCCTTCCCTCCTCCTCTCTCACGCCTTCTGTTCCAGTGGTTTCAACGGCACCCGTACTGCCCTGCAGGATGCGGGCACAAGTGCCTCCCGTCATCGGAGAGCCGATGAGTGTAAACTAGTGACAGCGGCAAACAAAATAAGCAAACTCAATTCAACTTGCCTTCTCCTTCTCCTTCTCCTTCTCCTTCTCCTTCTCTTTCTCCTCCTCCTTCAAAGCTTCCTCCGCAGCCTCTACCGTACTACTAGTAACAGTGACTTCTTGCTGTCGCCGAAGTTCGATTCATTGATGCCATAGTAGTCTCAAGACATCCTGCCCCCGGTCACACAGAACGGCTGTCGGACCGTCCGTGGCAGTCGGCCGCTGCCGCCAAGTTCCGAAACCCGGCACTGCCGTATGACCCGATCAACCCGGTTGGACATCCCGAAGTTCAACGGCCACTGATACAGGCGCCCCCCCGGGCCCGGCGGGCTCCCCCGGGCCCACGGCCCCGGGCCCCGGCGGACCGTACCGTCCGAGTGGCCGGGCCCGGGGCGAGTCCCCGACAAAGTGACCTAGGATGATGGGCGACCTGAAGTTTGGGAAGCGATCCTCAGAGCGATCCTGTTCTGCTGCAGGTTCTGCTGCAGGTTCTGCTGCCTGTTCTGATCCTGTTGCTGTCCTGTTGTCCTGCTAGCAGTAGGAGGAGGGAGAGCAAGAGGAGGAGAGGAGAGGAAGTGAAGAAGGAGAAGAGAGGAGGAGAGGAGAGGAGAGGAAGAGAAGAGGGAGAAGTGAGGAGGAGAGGGTAGGAAGAGAAGAGGGAGAAGAGAGGAGGAGAGGGTAGGAGAGGAAGAGAAGAGGGAGAAGAGAGGAGGAGTGAAGAGGAGATGAAGAGGGAGAAGAGAGGAGGAGAGGGTAGGAGACGGGAGGGAACGAAAGAGAGAGAGGAGGAGCAAGCTCGTGCAGCGGCAATGTAAGGAGGTGGGGCGGGGGCGATTAGAGCGTTGAAGTGATCAGAGCAAACATCGACAGTTTGCGGAGACCACAAAGGAGGACGAGAAGGAGGAGGACGAGAAGGAGGACGAGGAGGACGAGGACGAGGACGAGGAGTGACATGGATACTTGAGGCGAGTCAATCATCGACCATGGCAAGGCTCAGGGCCTCTTGCTCTCTCCTTCTCTGTCTCATGCTTGTGGCGCCTCCACTCGCCGCTACAGATGAGGTGGACACGGCAGGGGAGGAAGGGACGGGGTTCGATGAGTTCGAGTACATCGAGACCCCCGACCTCGTTGACAGCAAGAGCGTCGGTGCTGCTTTTCTGCATGAGGATCCTGAGCCGATTGATACCAGCAACATGAGCATCTCCTTCATACATCCCCCTCCTGGCTACACGTTCACAAAGGACCCGTACGTTGAGGTAGGAGGGAGCGGCATACCGCAGGGATACAGCGGCATGCTCTACTTTGGCAGCGGAAATCCCTTTCCTCTCTCCCTGCAAGAGCTCCCCCTCAACGTAGTGATCAGCGACCTGGCCCCTGGGAACTATTCCCTCACCGTCATCATCCTCAACCACGAGCGACAGCCCACGGAGGTGCGAGCAGAGACCAACTTTGAGTTCCTCCCCCCCAACGTGGACGTGAAGAAGACGAGGAGCTCGGGGAAGTTCGACGCCAAGGTCTTCGAGATGTCTCAGAGGTTTCACCTTGCCGAGGTTGTGTCCTCCGGTTCTGAGGACGACAACCCCTTCCTGGACGCGTTCAGGTCGTACGCTAAGGGCAACGTCGACTGTGTTAGGTGCGAGGAGGATGAGATTCATGTCTCGGACGAGATCTATGCTCAAGTAGCCGTTAAGCTCTTCTCGAGAAGCAGCAGGGACATCGAGCAGGCCGTGGACATAGCCTACCACTGCGCCGAGATGGACAACTACAACTGCCTCTTCCTCGCCCTCGTCTTCGATAACATGCACCAGCGACTCGGGCTCTTGGGGCACGACGACGATAAGTTCCCCGTGCTCGAAAAGTGTGCCAAGGCAAGGAACCCGCTGTGCCAGCTCGCCCTCGGGTACCGCTACAGGAAGGGGATCAGCGTCCCCGAGAGCTGCGACCTGGCAGCCATGTACTACCGGCTAGCAGGAGACGTGTCTGTCATGTTCAGCCAGGAAGATGCAGGAAACGCTCCTCTGCACAACGTTCGTCTGCTCGAGTACACTGCTGTGTCTGCAGAGCAGGAGAAGGCTCAGGTCGAGGAGCTGCGGGTGGTGCAGGCGGAGCAGGGGAATGCAGATGCTGCTGCAGCCGTTGCGATCGACCGTTACTTCGGGACGAGCTACACTGGGTCCGGGAACAATGAGGAGGATAAGAAGTCAGCAGCTCAGTTGTTCCAGCAGGTGATGATGGAGAAGATGCTGCTGCTGCTGGTGGTGGTTGTGGTTGTGGTTGTGGCTATGAATGTGGT